CAGAAGAAACGGCTTGAGGATCGCATGCATAGTGGAAACAAGATTGCGCTTGCGCCTCTCAATCACCTCCTTCTGCCCACTCTTGTCCAAAACCGTGGAGAAATCGAACCAGCTTTCGAAACTATCAAGGTCATTGAATACTTCTGGAAGCAAGAAGTGCAAAAGGGACCACAGCTCTGAAATATTATTTTGCAGCGGAGTACCCGTGATGAGAAGTCGATTTGCCGAGTTGTATCTGAGTAGCTCCTTAATCAGTCGACAATTCATGTTCTTCAAGCGATGACCCTCGTCCTGTCAATTCGTTAGCGGCCTTACTCAAATTAACAGAAGATTGCCGCCAACATACCACAATAATATATCTCCACTGATACTGAGAGAGGAACTTCCGGTCGTTCATACATATTTCATAAGAAGTACACACGACAGGGAAGTCCATTTTCTTCTGATCCTGCAATTTCATCCGTTTCCTGCGGATCTCTGCGCGTTCTTCTTTGGTCCCATGATACAAAACGGTTTGGATACTCGGTGTCCATCGGGCAAACTCATCAACCCAGTTGCTCACTGTACTCAGAGGTGCAGCAATCAGGAAAGGACCGGATATATTCTTCTCCTTGAAGAAGGCGATCAAAGAGATGGCCTGTACAGTCTTTCCTAGGCCCATCTCGTCCGCTAGAATTCCGCATAGGCCATTCATCCATAGGGATTTAAGCCATTCCAACCCTTCTAGCTGGTACCGTCTCATCTTTCCTCCAGTCACCAGCGCGGGCTGCTGGGTGGCAACGAGATCCTGCTCGCCAATAGCCGTCGGTTTCGCTTCGAGCTCGTCTGCCGCTTGTTCCAGAGCTTCTTGAACTGTAGGATTATTTTCGGGAACCTCCACTTCCGCCTTCTTGAAGTAGTTGGAAATGGTGTTCATTTGAGAAACTTTCTTCGCCTTTCCTTTTCCTGTTGATTTCTTCGCCTTTTCTTTTTCGTCTTTGTCCTTTTTCTCGGCAGCCGTTCCTTCATTATCTTTCGCCTCGTTCCTTTTCGCTGCTGAGCGGGTAGTTCTTTTCTCAAGCGCGGGCTTTTCCTTAACTTCTGTGGATTGTTTTTTGGCCGCCTCCTTCCTGGCCTCTTCCTGTTGCCTTCTTTGCTGTTCTTTCATCTTATCCGCCATAATAGCGACAAACACCTGCACAACAACGGCATTAATTCCCTGCACAAGTTCTGAAAGTTGACTCAAATGAAAACATACCGAACTCGTCTTCAACAAGTTCGTCAGCGCTCTGGCTTTGATGTCCATCCCTTCCGTGTCATCTTCGTCATTTGGAATATCCATGTTCTCTTTGTCACCCCCATGCTGCTCATGGTGACCCTCTACTTTGAGATTGCTCTCGTCGTCGGCGGATTCGACTGCTACGGGTGAAGACGGTTGCGTAGAATCCTGTCCTGAAGTTCCCCCAAGCGATTTGATGGGGGTGACCGGTGTGGTTCGATCGGACATTGTAGCGAGCCAAATTTGAAAAGCAGTGTTGTCACCGCGCCCAACGGATTATGGAACCAGGTCAATTCAAACGTCAATGCGATGGAAAATATGCCTGAAAGCTCTGTACCGCTCTCGATTGGTTCGCGTTCATCAAACGCCACTAGAGGAGTCCGCAGCCCCTATAAACAAAAGAGTCAAAGGTGGGGGAAAGTCAGAACGAGGACGTAGGCACTGAAATCAATCTGCGCTAATCTACCCCTCGCGAAAAAAAAAGGAAGTGAGTGCTTCCTTTGTGTCCATAAAGGAGGCAGTATGATGCTCACGTTTCGCGTGACCTTCCTCACTACGCGGTATGCGAAGAACGCGGATAATCGCGTCAACGCACAGACCAACTTTATATTAGTTTGCTGACAAAGCTGTTTAAACGTCTGCAGGGGAAAATACGGAGTAGACCAACATTGCTTGGAAGTTGAAGCAGAACAAACAGCAGCTTGGATAAGATAAAATGGGGATATTTAGAGTTTTTATTTTTATTTTTTTGGCCCTTGAAACTTTCTTTACAGTGCTAATCTCGCTACCAAATCTGACAATCGGTTAACTTTCGGAGGTTGTAACAGTAATAATAGCGTTACAAAATCATCGCTGGCATAGTACCGTGGACCTTGTCTCCTTGCTTCTCGTCTGCCTGACAGAATTGCGCAATACATCATGTTCGATCCTGCATCAGCCACTTTGCAGCGCCACAACTTCTTGTCCGAGTGCAGAAGGGCCATTTCAAGATAAGTAGAATGACCGAAAGGGAAGGAGCCAAACAGGGCCGGGGGGGGATCAATCTTTTCTCAGACAGGACAGGCGCTGTTGCCGGGAAAGTGACATTGCTGACCGCAGCTGGTAATTGTCGTTCATGGCTTCCAATCATTTCCGTTTCCTTAGCGTTTGTTTCTTTGGCGGTCCATTTAATCTCACACTTCGTCTTTGTTCACCAATAGCCGTGGTCTTCTTTGAAGGCGCCTTAGGTTTTGTTAAAGATGTGCTACTCTTGGTATTCGTGGTCTTCGAGATTTCAGAGTCTTCCTCGTTTCCGTTTTGCTCTGTAGAGTCGAACTTCGGTGTTGGAGATCCTTCCTGCACGGTTTTGTTGCCGCTGGATGAGTGGGATGCAACACGTTCATCACTGGTTTTAGAATCCTGCGACTGAGTGCTTTCCATATGAATAGAATTACCTCCACCAGAGAGTTCTGGAGCGGTTAAAGAAGGTGAGTATTCATGCATGATACTCTTCTTCTCTTCTTCATGCGCATGGTCTAGGACAAGAGAACTTGGCTGAGCTTCCACTTTCTTAGAAGGGGCTTCCTCACTGTGCATGAGCACGTCGACATTAGTATGTTCCTTGATTTTAGGTTCTGCGTCCTCGCCGTTCGTTTTCTCATTTGTTGAGCGGCTGTCGACGGCCGGAGCCTGAAATTTCAGTCCCTCATCTTGTTTTTCATCAACAAGTGAATTCTCGATTGTTGGTCCGCTTGCAGATGGTTTGACAACAGACAGAAGCGAGTCTTCTAGCTTCTGTTTCCCTTCTGCAGAATAGCAGAGATCGTCGGATGACGCTGCAATCCGCGCGGGCTGCGGCCTATACTCTGAGTCCTGGACCGAGATATTTCGTATGGGTGTTGAATGACGCTCAAAGTTAGTGTCTGTACTTGGGAAAGCCGATTTAGTTTGCACTTTCGAATCGAGGGATATCACTGGGTTAGCAAAGCTCATTTCTGGAATACACGTATCAGAACTTGGAGGCATCTCTGTTACAGAGGATGTTCCTTCATTATTCTGTTGCGAAGAAGACTGGATTCCTGTTGAAGAATTGTTGCCATGACGATCTTCCGACTGGGACGTGACAGCATTCTCAATGTTTTCTGCGGTCGAGGCAACAGAACCTGCGTTTTCTTCAGCTTGTTGCATCTGGGTTTCTCTTCTAACCTTCTCGGGTTTCCCCCTATACCTCAGAGATGAGGTAGGCATGGATGAGAGTTTTGGTTCGAGAGAGCTATACGACCATTGGCCGCCCATGACCCTACGAACAGGTAACTCGAAATCGCCAGCGACAGGTAGCTTCCTGGAATGGTTTCTCGAGGTCTCTGCAAATGCATGTTGGCCATTGGAATCGAGTGAGTTTCGCTGCCTCAACGGCTGAACCTCAGTTCTTGTGATGTAGTGATTTGACAGGCCTGTCCATTCCGACGGCTGCTCTAGATCACGAACCCGGGCAGCTTGTTCAGAGCCAATTCTCAAACGGACTATTCCACAGGCCTGATGGTTCATATGATTTCTCGTTTCGTTTGAATACGAGTTGGACATCGGCACCCTATAGGTTGAAGGCGGGTGACCTTGGTAGCCCCGAAAACTTGCAACATCATAGTCTCCAAGGTCGTTGATGGAGTCAGCCTGGGAACGCAGTGATTGTTCGTCCATAATGGGAGGGCTCGATGCTATGTCTGATACGTGTTCCTCCTCAGGTCCCGGGTTTTCGCCAAAATGATAATTGTCCTTCCACTCAAACATTTCCTGTTCTTCATTTTGCGACTTGGGCAAATACACAAAATCGTTGTTCCATTCTCCAGCATACCGTGGATCTAAACCACGCTTGGACAAGAACTTTCTTGCAAGCAACAGATCTTTAGCTTGACACAAAAGATAGTCTGTTCTAATGCTGTCTCTCAATCTGCGTGCGAATTGTCGCGACGTCTTCCTGAACACCAGCTGGCTCGGGACTTTGTGCGCTTTCAAGTCGCTATTGTCAATGCGCATGAGTGCCCTAAGCTGCTTGGCTTGCATCTCCTGTAGGTACAGATTCTCCTGCTGAATCTGTCTATTGCGCCCTTCGAAGTGCTGCCGGAGGACCTTCGCTTCTTCGTATGTCACACCGAGCAATGACAATGTCTTTGACCAGCTGTGAACGGACATAAGATTTTCAACAATCTCGGTCTGGAGATTCGGGGACAGGTCTTTCCACTCAGGGTTCTGCGGTAACGGTTCCTATACCAGAGGCATTAGTCTCGACGCTTGCATCGAGGTATCACGTTGCAGTCTGCACGCACTTCTATGACATTCTGATCATCATCCTGATTTGGATCTCCGCCACCTTGACTATCACTCATGTCACTGTCATGAGACGATTCTCGATTGGCTTGCTCAAGTCTAGCCATGTTTCTCGCATATATTGGATTTTGGGGTCCATTGCTGGCAACATAGTTGTCGATGTCACGATTTGAGATGTGCCGTAATTCGTCAAGGCGATCATCATCATCATCATCCATGTCAACATCGCCATCCTGATCTGTCTTCCTGTCTTGAACATGCTGGCTCTGGCTGTTGTTCACAGGACGAGGCTTGTCCAGGGTGGGAAATGCCGCAGGCGGCAGGTTCGGATTGTAATCAACATAGTTCCGAGCTGAGGAAGATCGCGGGGCCCTGCGCGTTGCAGTCTGGTAGACGAACTCGGCATCGTATCGTTGAGGTGGTCGAACGGAGTCTCTGAGCCTCATGGTGGAGAGTGGAGATTCCTATGGACGAGACGTACCAAGAGGTTGTGATAGGAAAAGAGGTGTCCAGGGCGAGCTGTGACGCAGTTAAGCTAAGGCACCCCTGGCAGTAAATGAGGCTAAGTGGTGAAGGAGACGCAACAGCTCTGGAGTGAATGAGAGATTGCTTCTTCTCTGTTAGTGGGGGGTTGTTATGGAGGGACGCGTCCTGACCTGCAGTCACAGCGGGATGCGTGACTGATGATGTAGGGCCAAATAAACAGACGGGCTTTTCCTTCAAACCCTGTGATATTGACAAAGCAGGAAACACGGACGTCCTCAGATTTTTACAGTTCCTGAGTCTCACTTTGGGTTTACTTTTCTTTGTATTCCTAGGAAGATATAGAACCAGACCGTAAGGTTGTAATTCCATTATATGCTAGTAAAGTGGATGAAAAAGGCTCTTTCAGCAATTTATGCGCTTATTGCCGTAAACTCCATTATCAGAGAAAAAGAAATACGGGTATTCCCAAGGAACTCCGATCCAGCGAGCATTCCCCCCCCCCACGGGTGAAATTCAGGTCGAAAAGGTGAAAAAAAAAAAGGTGCAATATCACTTATCTTTAAAGGGAGCTGGCTTGGTTTTAGCAGGAAAGACACTCTCATCCGCATCCATATCCATATCCATATCCATATCTGGAGCGCAACCCGTCATTTTCATCGTCGCGTCTGCGTCATTCCCCTCGTCCAGGCCTCGCTTCTTCGGGACCTGGCCCTGGAGAAGGGATATATTCCCACCACCAGCAGCGCCATCACCACCACCACTGGACATCAGGCTACGCTTTGCCTTGGTCACGTCCCGTTTCGCCGTGAGGATGGACTCAAAGGAGTGGAGGAGATGGCGCATGGGTTCCTCGATGCAGACGCAGAAGCGTCGGTGTTGGACCCTCCACAGGGCGTCGTGCAGGCTCAGGTTCAGCATCACCATCAGGTAGGCGATCACGACGCTGGCGGAGCGTTCATTGCCGGACTCGCAGAAGACTAGGACTTTTCGAGGAGATGAAGACGGAGACGTAGTGGTTGTGGTTGTAGTAATTCCTTGAGTAGGAAAGGAAGAGATATGGTCGTTGATGCGACGGATAGCACGAGGGTATTCAGCGATGAGCTCCTGATTGTTCAGCACGTCGATCGAGTCGGCCTCGATGCCCAGTTCCGCAGCGGCTTTTTCCCCCGAGACGAGTCGCGCCATAGCCGATTGCTTGCTCCGGACGGCCAGGAGGAGGGTGATGCCTTCCCTCTCGAGAAAGGCGCGGTCCTTGACACAGGCGTAGGGTCCCAGGTAGAGGAACGGGAGCACCTGCTGGGCGTGTCGGCGCATTTCGTACGTCCAGTCCGCCGGCTGGGCCTTGTGGGCGAACCATTCCGGATCGACGGACTGGAAGAAGCCGCTCTGGACGAATTCACCGTACTCAAAGTCATGTGAGCTGGGGGGCGAGGTGTCGAACTGACTGGTGTCGTGATCGAACAGCGCCACGGGGGGCACCACCACGGGAAGCCGCCGGATGGGGATGTTGGTCGAGTAAGGGTGAGTAGGCACGTATGGAGAAGCTTCGTCGTGAGACATAGGTGTTTCAGAAGTCAACATGGCTGGTGGTGGTGGTACCATCTTGTCGGTATTGTCTGAGGGCGGATACATGCAGGATTGTGCGTTGTGTGAGATGAAAGAAAGAGGAAGGAAAAATTAAAAATGAGACAAGAGAAAGTGTCAAAGCATGAGATTCATCTGAGTGTGTCAGACTGTATTGAATGAGTGCATCTCAGCGCACAAGGTCTAGGCCCAAAGGGTCAATTGTCGACGCGGAAGTAGCGTGACAAGAAAAGGAAACTCCCGTCGAGAAAGGTGAAGTGGTCCGACATGAATTTTCCAGAGGGGAAATTTTTTTTTCGCTCCTCTTCCGACTTTTCTTTTTCTAAAGGCAGACAGAGCGATTTTGTTGTCGTGCACCTGTCAACATGTCCTGCCTTCAAAAAAGCTTACACCAGATTCACATCTGGAACTGACAGGCCACGACTCTGGGGCCAATGACACGACAACCGATAAACATCAATGCAGCATCTCAAAGACAGGAAAAAGACATTTACAAGAAGTTCAATTTATTGCAAAAAAACAAATTCCTTAAAAAAATTCAAAATACATCAATCCATTGAAGTGTACAGGTACTTAGGTAGGTACCTATAGGAGTTGATATCAAGTCCAGGACGTCAAAGTGACAGGTAGAGTTCGAGTCGCGTTAGTGTGCAGTCCAATGATTGAACCGGACGCGATCGAGGCTCTGGCTTCTTGAAATGTGATTGGTCCAAGAAGGTGATCCGCATCAAGGTTCGGCACCTAGATAGGTTAGGTTGATTTCCTGGCATTCCTCAAATTAGTAATAGGGCAGATGGATCCATGGATGTTCCATCTCCCTACCTAATCCGGCAGTGTACTGTACATCCGTCCCCAATATGGGTTGTAGTATATCCATCGCTTCATTCCACTCAAACCTGTTTTTTTTTTCAAAGAACTGTCTCAAGCTTCTGACAACAGAGAAAGCCAGTTTCATACCAATTTTATCTATATATCCAGGGAGTACAGTACTTATTATCATGAAGCAGTTCTAGGCCGATCACGAAATATGGCTCACATGACATCGACCTCAAGTTTGCTTGACAAAGCCAAACATTCAAAACAGACCTCAGCATCTGTTCAGTGGACAGGTAATATCGTCTTTGATATATGAATCCATTATTGCCAAAGGAACTGTATGCCTTATTTCTTTCTTTGGACGTTCTCTTAAGACATTGTATAGACATATAGCTGTCTATCTTTGCAGCCTATCTCCTGTTATTGTTGTTATTATTAGTCTCTCATGCATGGACACATTTATCTTACAATGTCTCAAAATGATCCTCCCACGCTACTTGCCTCTTTCTTGCTTTCTTTCATACGGAGTAGCCATCCAGACTCCTCCGCCTGCATAACCTCAACTTCCACGTCATCATCACCAGGCAGCCAAATTGTTTTGTTGCCTACGAAAGAGAAAATAAAAATGTCTGCCTGCTACAATACAGTGCATAGTTTTTATTTTAATTCGCCTATCTACATATCTGGCCGGCAAATCCCGATTTCCTTGTGCCGTTTGCACAGCCTCAGTTGCGTGTCACAACATCTGATGGATGGATGAATAGGTGGTTTTGCCTCCTCAGGCTGCAGATGTAGATGCAAATGCAAATGCAAAATGCAGCTACGTCTGTAGGCTGCTGTGGCGAGTCATCAGTTGACGACAATTGAGTCGACATGTTGCGCGTATGGTGATCATGTGATGTTGCGTCACTGCCTCGAACTCGACACTGGATTTATTTACGCGCATGCAGATCTGTCTTTCTTAGTCATCATAATAATATGCAGCTGGGGCGTCATGTGCATTGTCATCATGGCAGTGCATAATACCGGGCCGGGCACACCCTAGGAATCAACTACTCCGGAGTACATACGAATGCTATAATTAGAGGCTATGTATATGTACGAAGTACTCCGTAAGGTAGGCACAGTGTAACAGTAGTAATATTATTTAGTCAAGGTAATCATAAGGTAAGGGGGAAGAAAAGGAAAGAAAAAAAAGATACTACAGTAAGTACTCCGTACAATTCCCCCGTACCCCGACTCTGTCCAGGTACCGATAACAATACCGAAATCCCACATGAAAAAATTAAGGTTGACCAAAATCTGAACCCCTTAATCTTAAGGCAACCCCTTCTCCATCGGAGTCCAGGGTAGGATGTGGGATTCCACTAGAAGTTCAATGCGATACTATTATTGGATCGATCGGAGTACGGAGTATTAAATGATGCCGATAAGGTAACAAGAAATACGGAGTAGGGGCATCGGGGGGAAGTTAGTTCAGAGTCGTACTCCGTACTGTAGGAGTATCTATTGGTTCATTCATTTCTGAGTTCTTGAGATCTGACCACTGGGGAAAACGGGAGGGAGATCGGGAAGGTTACAAAGTTGGATCTGATTCTGGGGCGGATCTTGTACGGAGTATGTCTTGTAGTCTTGACTTTTTGGGGTCTGGAAGCCTCACAAGCCGCAGCCTAGGCCGCCTTACCGCCTGACGGCCTAAAATATCTACGGAGCATCCATGGATATTCCGTCCTTCAGTCTGACATCGGGGGCCAAAAGTAAGATGAAGTGCGAACTAAACTTAATTGCGACCACTGTAGTCTGTAGCAGATTTTCTTTTTTTTTTTCTATTTTGATCCGCAGATCATCGGCAGAAGTTACCTTATTCAAGGTAAACTTGTCTGACTTCTTGCTGACTGCTGACAATGACGATACTCTGTACTTTAGTGGACATCTCTGACAATTGCCCTCTATGGTTGAGATCGTCGCTTTTCTGGAAGGGTTCCGTGCTGACGGATGGAGGGACTGATTGGATGGTGGTTGAAAAAGTCAAGAAGTCCATATAATACCTAAAAAAAAAAGGTACTGAACAAGGGTGTGCACTGCGCACGTTACCCTATGTTAATTGCAACATCCATACTTTCCTAGGGTAGGTTCTACCTGACCTAGGGCACCTGGAACTAGGTGAGTACCGGTGAACAATTGATTTTTAACGATCGTTTCCATGCTGCCTGAGCCTTACTACCTAGAAGTAAATACTGATTGCAGGCCAATAGAAAACCCAGATTGAATAATGCAATAATAATAGGCAAGAAAAGAATATGTCTTGAACGGGTAGACAGCAAGCACCGCTCCAAGGATAAATTCCGCTGACCAGCGTGAATGGATGGAACATCTCGATCGATTCCGATTATCCCGTCGATGATGATGATTTGCTGATTACCTGCACACCTAGGTAGGTAGGTGAGCAGGCAGATTAGTGGGCATGCCCTTTCTGTTCCTGCCTACCTGCCTGACTGGGGAATATCACAGGATACCAGGCTCACGCATGATACGAGCCATCCTGAACCAATTGAAGGAACTGGTCGACTGCGAGATATCAATGCAGTACACCATCCTCAGGCCTGAAAGTCGATGTTGGCAATGACATGACATGCATGATATCAACAAGGTACATCCCTACAGAAAAATAAGAGTTTCAGATAGATATCCATGCCCATGCCAGTGTAGTGGCACAAAACAATGTCTTAGGCAACCGCATTTCCTTGCTCGGGAATGGAAGGCAGCTTCCAGTACCGAGAGCGGAGCAGCCCCCAAGGGTTCTGGGGAGGGTTGGATCCATGCTGAGAAGATAGTACTCGGCCGGTTACCGGCACGGATATAGATCTGGCGCGATAGTAGCAAAAGAAATCCATGAATAGAAAGAAATATATATTTAGATAACTTGTCAATTTTAAGGATTAAAGTTATCCGGCGAGCAATAGACTAGCCCCGATGTGACAGTCACAATCTCTGAAACGGGATGGAAAAAAGAAACAGGGGCGGAGAGTGAAAGAAACAAGATCCTTCCATCTTCACCAACCTCGTTTCCCGCCAATTTAGTTCCAGTAGATCAGTGGAGATGATGAAAATGGAAACGCTCAGCTAGAACAGACAGGAATCCACGAAGAACGGAATAGCATTGTCATCAAGACAGGGTATAATTCCGAGAGATGAATCGAAAGCGGAATTAAAATGAAAACGCCACAAAAAAAACAAAAATGAACACCCGCCATTGTTCCCTAAAGTGAGACTGAACGCCAGGTCTCCCAAGTCATCAACCCTGCCAGCCAGCATACATACTTTATCACACCTTGATTCCTTTCGTAGCGATCTGTACTGAAAACCGACCTTCCAGCATGCCAGAGTATAAAAGTCGAGGGCCATGAGAAAACGTTAAAAAAAGAGAAAAACGCCAAACACAATGCATGCGACAAGCAGATAGAGAATCAACCTTGAGTGGTTGCGGTCTGGGGCATGGCCTGCTGTAGTCCCGCCACAACCTTTTCTAATTCTTCTAGCCGTCGGTCTTTCTCCCGCACTTCATCCCGCAGTCTCTTCAACTCGCTCCGTAGATCAATGGTATTCCCATTTTCGTCTTCGATGACGGCTGGCTCCGTGTCCGTCGCGTCTCGTTTCCGCTTCATGCTTGGAGTCTGTGCGAGGAAGGACGCCTTGATCCCTTCGACATCAGTCACATGTGCTGCTGACAGGTCCGGGGAGGCACCGTTCTCCGTGTGCATGTGGCGACGACGTAGATGCTCCTTCAGATTCTCTTGTCGAGTAAATCCATTCCCCGTACTCCGGTTGCAATCGGCATATGGGCACATGAGAGGTTTCTTCGCATTCGCGTTCTTCTTGTGCACCTCGCGCTGATGTCGGAGAAGGCCCCCCGAGTACGTGAAGCCTTGGACCTTGTCACATCCGGGTTCCATGCATTTGTAGGGTCGATCATGCTTGTCCATGTGTTTGCTACAGCAGATAACTCGTCAGCGGCTTATCTCTTATTTCCGGGGGGAGTTTCCTACTCACTTCCATTCACACGGACGTCGGAATGTTGGAGGCGTAGGTTGACAGTCGGCGTGGTCGCAGTAGATCTGACCGGCGGCATTCCGGGGGGGATCCCGAGCGCGGCGGACCGACAATCGCGGTCGTGTTCCATCTGTTGTCGTCGTTGTCGTCGTCGTCGTCGTCGTCGTCAAGCTTGGAGGAGAAGGATCGGCCATCTTCGTGGGAGGTGATAATGATTCCGGCGCGGCCATGAGCATAGCAGTCGGCCCACTGGGACCTTCACTTCTTGGACTAGGATAATCCGTCCCGTCGCCCATGTCGTGGTTTGTGAGGGAATCTGGCAGCGGACGGCGACGAGGTCCGTGCAAGAATCAACAGCGGAACTGGACGGTGGCGAAGATAGTGAAAGGGATCGATTGGATGTTTGGCTGTCCAGGTCGAGGCCGAGGAATATTCCAAAGCGGTGTGCTGTCTGACAGTGATGTCAGCAGGCTGGGAGACGCGGTCACTAATATATTGCCAGGTTACGAAGGCGTCAGCACCAACTGGACGGGAATCGCCACCTGAAAATTCAGGAACTCCGGATCGGGTGGACGTCCCGTGCGTTCGGGGGTCCCCCAGAGCACAGTGCCGCGGGCGAAACGGGCGAAGGGGGGCGGAGACGAGTGGTGAAGGAGTTTCTTATAGGCAGGCGCCGAGATGTCGGGAACCGGGACGATCGATCTGACAAGCACAAGCGAGGAGGGACCACGCACGTCCACCGTGTGACCGGGGGCCTCCACAGAAACCAGGCTGGATTGGAGCCCAAGCGCGCGCTCTCGACTCGGCAGCCAGACACGCACCTGCAACAGAGGGCCTGCTGGGCGGCGAAGGTTGACTCACGAGCTTGCCTGGGGAATTAATCGAGGCGATGTTGGTGCAGTTGGTGAGAATCGCATGGCAGCTGCCGCCACACCGCCACACACTCCGGTCACGTGCGGCAAGCGCTGCCTGACTCGTCAACCGTGGAAGCCTGGCGATGGCAACAATCGATCCATGGAATTTTGCTTCTTGCAAGAAGCAGAAGGAGAGACTGATGCTTGAGCAGCCCTGGATATTATGCTACAGTAGCATGGCTGGCCGAACAGTCATTCCATGGCCACGTCGCTCCTAGGGACCACCGGGCCGCGGCCAGCTTGCTAGCAGAGAAGCCAATTCTGGTTAAGGCCACAGCGCTGCATTGAATAAACAACCGAAAAGCGGGTACGCTGACTAGATGGACAGCATTGGTTAGGTAACTAGTGGCCTTGGTGAGTTAGCAGTGCTACTCTGTCGGTGCCTGTTAGGTAGCTGGTAAATTCAGGCAACACGTTCCGAGATGGGAGTGGCTGACCGGGAGTGACGCAAGTCAAAGACACGGGGCAAGCGATCAACAAAGCTCGAAAGAGAGGTTACTTAGGTGCAGCTGCCGTTGGCTGTTCGCTAGACCCGGTGAATCAATGGTGACTCAATGGATTTGGAGTCAAGTCTGGTGGAGGACGTGCATTTGTCGCCAGAAGTATACAGCGGATTCCCTTGGTGTTGAGCAGCTGCAAGGGAAGGTTTCAGGTGAGCTCTACAGACGGAGAAGTTTCAATCACAAGTAAACTTGACCCATGTTATTAGGACGCAAGCAAAGTCCTCTTAAGCTATGGCGGACACTATTAAAAGCGTCTAATACCACGCAAGGCGGACTCCAGAGCGTGTGGGAGGCCTCCTGATCTCCTATGTTCTAATAATAATAATTAATCCAATCTAGATCTAAGTCTAATGGAGACGATGAGGTCAGAAGAAGAGTCTCAATAATGTATGATTGTGTCAAGAGCTACTAGCTAAGGTAGGATAGCTAGTGTACTTCGTACATTCGTGGTCACATGAGGCACGTGAGAGGGTGCCAGCGCCAGAAAGCCACGTCTTAGGGCTTTTCTTTTTTTAGCACATATAGAAGTGCTCCAGAGTAGTTACAAGACAATAGGAAGTAACAGACTAGTTGTTCTTTTTATTAATAACCTTCCAGTTCCGCTGCGAGTCCTCTATAGCTTGTTAAAGCTTAGTCTCAAACTCATGGACCTCTTCAGGATAGACGCAATAGGCAAATGAGACGAGCGAGAAATCTCAGGCGGCTGATATTGTTCACGTAACTGATGCGGATCATAAAGATGATGGCCATGGAAGGAGCCTGCTGGTGAGACCTTTGTTGGGAATAAGTAGCAGCAGGCAAGGTGGGACTGAAAGCTGAAGTATGCTTCTGACCGATGTCTGGGGACATATGCATGGTGTCTGCTTGCATCCTGTTTTGAATCATGTTGGTAGTTGTTTCCTCGACATTGATGATGGACGCGTCTGCCTGACCTCACAGAATAGATGGTTGCAAGATCTACTACTGGGGAGGGCATGGAATTAAGATAACACCCTGTAAACTATTAAGATCTATGACTGACCATGTTTTTCTACTACACTTACATCCCTAGGATATCAAGGGAAACTAAAGTACAACAACATTGTTTAAATAATTAAGGATTTTAATAGAGGAATAATCCCCTGCAAAAACTGCCCTCTAGAGTTTAGTATTAGGAATATCTACCACATAGTAAAGCCTGAGTACCGCCAAGAAACGACTTACTATAGGGGTGAGGATGTGACTTGTGGCAGTCAGTGTTCCGAAACTTCTCACTCACTACGAAATCTTGCCTCTACCACCTGCCTGAGTACTGGAGCTCTGATTCGGCCAGTAGAAGCTCTCTACTATGATGAGTATTATCGCAATCTTCATGCTGTTCTCAACTTCTCAGCAAAGGTTTCTAGCGAGTGGTCGGGAGATGGGAGCGGTCGTATAGATTTCAGAATCGCAGACGTTGGCTGGGATTTTGAACTACTCTGTGATGGCGACCGGTTAGCAGAGCATTGTGCACAGTTCGTTGGTAGAGGAAGATATGCCCATTGGATCCAAAATGGTTGCTTCTGCCAGCTTCTTGATACTTGGATACTGGCTTATGGGAAATGGAACGCAGCTATGAGATGTCCAAAATTATAATGACAATCATACTTTGCATGGAGTCTGAAAGGGAACGCGCAAAGAATATCAATCGCTTCTGCATCCAAAGGCTTGGAGTGAAGCCCACAGCGCTCATAACATATGCAGATACCTTCATTGTTCAAATCCCTGCTGATGCTGCCCGCCACGAGGACTTCTCTGAGAACATCCGCTGCGGATGGGATGAGGTTTCGTCTGTTCACAAACGACCGCTGGACTAATGTCTGTGCGAGGTATTGAAAGGATTTGTCTTCATAATCGAGTAGTCAATGATATGGTCCATTGTCATAAGAGAGATCTCTTGATTTTTTAGTGCTGCCGATACACCTTATAGCCTATCCAATTAGCAACTTCCGGAGCCACATGAAGAGTGCAAAACAAACCTTGTATAACATGTCAAGAACACCTTCAACAGCCCCTAGATGTCCATTGGTAAGGCTGAAGATGTAGTCAGCTGCATGCTTGTGGAGTAGAAGCAATCGCTCTGGATTGTTGCATTTGCGTTGAACAACATCATATGGAATATCTATTTATATACAAGCAGCTAAAAGAAAAAAAAGAAGTACAATGTGTGCATAGTGGGAAGGAAGCTGTCCTTGCCTGTTAACCCTGTCAAAGAGGAGCTGTACAAACCCTGTCAAGAAACTATATAATAGTGCTGTTTCAAAGATATACTCCGTAGCTACATATAGAGAGCACTACTACTCCGGAGTACGCTGACTACAGATTTTGCCAAAACCATACACATATTATTAGGGTATCTGTTTCCACACAACCCACATTTAAAATCTACGACTCTTCTTTCTTATCCCTCTAGTGTGCTTTCTGCACAAGCTTTTGCAGGTAGTCACACTATACATTTAATTCCCATATTGACCTCGCCTTCTGTCCAGTGGGCAGCAGCAAATAAAAAGGAAAAAAGAAACATAATTCTCAACTCAAACAGAACGCAAAAAAAGAAACCAATTGAGCGTGCCAGGGGTCGAACCTGGAATCTCCTGATCCGTAGTCAGGCGCCTTGCTGTCGCCAGGTATTAGCGATGACAATTCCATTTTTTCCTTTTCTGTGGATTAGGAAATCTTCGGGGTTGTACTCACCCATTGGGCCACACGCCCTATCCTTATTTTGGTAGTTGGTCGTCATTGCGGATCTTGAATGACGGTACTTAGTGATGATGTGTGGATGTGGATGCTTCATTCTAGGATGATTTGGGTAAAGCCCTAAAAAGGGGCATTTACCGCGAGAACATTATTACTACTAGTATCTAATAGTGGGGATTTTTTTTTCAATGTGCCCCTCATGAGTGTGAGAGAGACTCGATTTCACAGTCACTACTTCTCGACCAACGTGCATTTATCGACAATTAAAAAAAGAAAGGAATGTAGAGGGTATGATGTCATAAAAACTACCTGTACTTGTAATAATTTCCTCTAGCTACATACCTACCTGAAGGGATTATGCAGGGAATAATACATGATTCATAATTCTTTACCTGCGTAAGACTACCCACATATACCTACTTACTTACCTACCTAGGTAGGTTATTAATTGTGCGCAAAGATCCGGCTAAAAAAAAAAGGATGGATCCCCAAAAATTTCAACCACATTAACCCCACCTCTCAACATCAATCTCGGGCGTGTGGCCCAATGGGTGAGTACTCCCACAAATAAAATAACTTCAATCATAATTACCTCAAAAAGAAGGCTATGCTAATACGCCCTCAATAGCAAGGCGCCTGACTACGGATCAGGAGATTCCAGGTTCGACCCCTGGCACGCTCAATGTCTTTTTCTTTTTTTCATTCTCTTTTTGCTTCTTGTTTTTTTGTGCTATCATTCTTATATCATTGATACTGGACGAGATTTTTTTCAAGACTCGAGACAAGTTGACAACCAATGCTGGTTTGGGGTGTGTTGAGATAATTTTAAATGGGAACGCTTCTCTTTTGTGTATAGTGACAAGTACTGTACCTACTTTCTCGACTACGTGAGTCATCTTACTGTCTTTCACAGTAGCAGCAGGAGGAGGGACAGTAGAAAAAGGAATATGAACTTTTAGATAGTATGTATTGATTAGTGAGCTTTTGTTTCTGGGTACAGTACATACATACATACAACTTTGGCTTGTTGAAGTGATAGGGCACAAGAGGAATATAGAGAGAGAGAGAGAGAGAGAGAGAGAGAGAGAGAGAGAGAGAGAGAGGAAAATGCCTTGGCTTGCATATCTATCTATCTATCTATCTATCTCACATTTGATAGACAGTTCAGTATTGTGCTCTTCATTCTAGAAAGTGCGGACATGTCAAGTCAGGCGATGTGCGGGCGTAGGAAAGAAATGCAGATTCTGGTGTAGCTTGTCGAGAGGTGTCGTAATACTTTATTTTGTTGTTCGCAAGTCTTTTGTTCTTGTTCTCATGCTGAGAAGTCGACATGGCAACGTATTTAGATCCCATGATGACAATCTGAAGATATGTTTAACGCTACCACCCGTTGATCAGCTCTCCCTCTGCAGACGATTTCCCAGTCACCAAGATGATCGAACACTCAGGGAGGTCCTCTGCATCGCCATCCGCCACTACCGGCGGCACCCACTCGGCGACCTTGAAATCGACACGGTGCATGTGCTGATGCGGCTTGAATCGACAGGAACGGCCGCCGCTGCCGCCGCCGCCGCCGCTGCTGTTGCTGCCGCCCCGACAACCGTCCTTCTGGCAGATATGACCGGCATAGCACCTCGCCTGTCGGCATCTCAGTCCCCGCGGACAAGGGGTTTCTTTCAGTATGTATTGCAGCACGGTGAGGGCCTGCGGTTCGAGCTCGCTGTGGTCGAATTTGCAGTATTTTTCACTACACCGGCCGCCGAGATGGTGCTTGTTACACAGTTTGTGTTTGTCTTTGCGTCGTTGATACATTTCCCACGCTTCTGGTGGCGGTCTCAGGAAGATCGTGTCGAGTCGGTCTCCGTCTTTGTTGATCGGTATGAGGTCTTTTGTTTCCGGCGAAGAAAATGGAAGCAAATCTGATGGGCGCTCATGCGCTAATGGTCCGCGGAAAGGACTGACGGAAGTAGTCTTCTTAGAGGTTGTCGAAGGAAACCGTGCTGAGTCGTCCCCAGACTTTGTTGGACTTTTGTCGACGTGTTCATTGAGACATTTGTTCCCGTACCTGCACATTCCCTATTGTAATGTCAGCAGACTAGCGAGCTTATATGACTGACGACATTTGGTTCTGCACCTTTTGGTAGTAATTGCAAATCTTTGACTTGCCATTCGTTCTAGAAAATGTGGTGTTGCTGCTGGCAATAGGGGTAGATCTGAAGACAGAGGGTATTTCTCTGATGGGTAAGTCTAGAGATTCGAACTCTGGTTGAATTGAAGCAGCCTTGATGAGCGTCACGCGATCTGCCTTGCCTTGATATGGGGTTAACAAGGACAGATATCCAACGTCGTGGCAGCCGGCGAAGAAAATGTGTTTGCATTGGTTATTGTCAACAAACAACTGGAACGTTTCTGTTTCAAGTGTCAGCACAGGTTAGCCGGTAAAACAATCCAAGCAAATAAAAAAGAACCCTCAGGTGGAATACCTCTGACCTTCAGGTCAGTACCATCCTTGTCGCCCGCATCTACGAAATCAAACAGGTCCTGCGAACCCGTAAAGCTCGCGGCGAAGGGGGCCAAGGAGCGGGCCTCATTTCCTACAAGACCTGCTTTGGACAAACTCTTCGACAAACCAGAGAGATTTGCGTAGACGCGCACCATGACACGACACTGCTCTGCATCGATGTTCAACTCCGACTGGAGGAATTCCTTGATGGCGTCGCTCAGTGCTTGAGCAGCCGCAGCTCCGCCTTCACTCCCGGCTTTGATATGCTGGTCTTTGAACTGCTAAGCGTCAGCTAGACACGTTGAGGGGAAGATCCAGAAGCTGATTGAGCTTACAACGTAGTTGTCTCCATCGACAAGCACAAGAGCAAACGGATTCCGCTCATGTACATCCTTCTAGCATTAGATTAATCTTTTGTCTACAGTGTAGTAGGAAGGACAACAGCTCAACAGGACTGAACTGACTCACCTGACCTCGCGCCTGGTTCTTGTACTTCTCGCGCAATTCTCTTTTGTCCTCCAAGTCGCTTTTGAGACGTCGATAGCTCTCGATCAGTTCTTGGCAGTTCTGTAGCAGCCGCAGTCGAGCGTTGTGGTGCTGCTTGCTGTCTCGAATGAAGTCGTCGAGCTGACTGTGTAGCCCATGAAGATCGGATTCCCAGAGCATGGTGTCAGAGTATTAGACTCGCTTCACGCGAATGATGGCCCTGAAACAGGCAAGGATGATAGAAAGTTTTCTCTCAGTTTTCTGATGGCCAGACGAGAGGGTTATCCGGGTTAGGACAGGGTCATGGAAACTGTCATTGGGATTGTGTGGAAGATGGAGTATGAAGACTAGCCAGACCAGATAGTAAGAGCTCTAGTCGACAAAGAAGCGTGGCAGTGGTTCTACCCTTCTGGGCCATGCCAAGGCAAGGAAAGCGGTGAATGGCTCGCCCTTTCGATAAAGAAAGAAGTGATATTTCACTTATTCGAATTCTTTGATCCCAGTCCCATGACTGCAATGGAAGAAGGGAAAGTCCGGCATCCATTCGGAACCCCGTCGAGGATCTACCGATCAACGGGAGATACCATTACTTGGCAGTCTACCGGTAGGTGTAATAGAGTACATATGCAGGTATCTTCAATTATAACGCTGACAGACAACTTCTTCGTCTGCGATTTCTTACAAGATTCTACAGATCGACAACACCGCTTGGAACTCCATTCGAAGCATATATGCTATGGACAAGAAGTCTCATTCTGCACCATTATCATAACACATGCTCAGATCCAGTCTGGTAGCAATATACCGTACAAATCATAAATCGTAAGTCGTAATAGTTAAGGCTTATCCCTGCCATCTTACTCGACCCTCCCGCAACACCTTGACCACGCCTAGCGGCATCAACGCTCGATCCACGGCAGCCAACCCGCCATACTTGCGGACCATGCCGGGATGATAGAGCTCCGCGACCCACTTCCAGTACGGCGTCATCTGGTCCCAGGTCGAGCGGATAAGTTTGGTCGTCTTCCTGTTATTCGCCTGCAGCCACATCTTGTTGCTTTTGAACTCGGGGGTTTGGCCAACGCCGACCTCGTCAGGGACTCGGAGCAGGTCCTTGTAAGCCTGGAGGAGAGCGGAACTGTGGGACTCGAGATACAACATGTACTCCTCCAGAGGGAAGAAGGCGACTGGCTGGTCGCGAAGATAGGATCTATAATTGGAGCCTTCTTTCTCAAACCTCTCCTTGGCGGAGTAATAGGCCGCCTCCTCTTTCAGCAGTGCCAACTGCAGTCGTTTCCGCGGGGCCTGCTTGATGTTTTCGCGCATCGCAAGAAACGGGATGAACGGGTTGCGGAGTTCCAGACTGCCCAGCTCGACCGGAAAGTAGAAGAATCCGTCAGGAAGATCGCGCATATTGAAGCGCTGAGCGATCACGCTTCGCAGGTAATCTGTGACGTTGGTGCTGCCACCCCTGCCGCCTCTGCCGCCTCTTGCGGGGTCGATCTTGGAGAAGACAGTGCTCTCGATTCGGCTCAGCGTAGAGATTACCATATCGATGTGAGAACGACCAAAGCACATGGCGGGTTTGACAAAGTTGTTACTAAAGAATCGGGCAAAATAGCCGTTCCAGGCCTGCACCCAGGCCAAGACGCTCTTGCAGGCCGAGAGCTGCCGCTGAAGCTCGTCAATATGGGCGTCTACTTGTTCCTGATCGATGAGGAAGGACCCTCGTTCAGAATCCAGCCGGAGAAAACCCCAGCGTATCTCACCTTCCGGTAGAGGGCCAGGATCATTGGCATCCGGACTTGTATCCATGTCCTCTTCGTCACTCTCTCCATTGTCCTCAGACGACGACGACGAGGAGGAGGAGTATTCGGATTCCGCTGCAAGCTGTGTAGCAGTTGGATCTCTTCTCTTCCCAAGATGAACAGTCCCAGTCTTCTCATCATTGAATTCAAGACCCATAGCTTTCGCAAAACCGGTCATCGCCGCCCACGCCTTTCTGCATGTCTTTTCCTCCCCCCAGAACCAGAAGTCATCGTGAAGTCTGTAAAGAAAGGCACCATTAGCATGCTGGTTGACGGCATAGTCCAGGCAGAAAAGAACGGCCTCTCCGAAACAGTCGGAAAGCGAGTGGCTCATCGGGATGCCTCTGCGGCGAATCTGGACTCTGGCCTGCGGATCATCGTGAACAAACTTCAACGGCGCCTCTAGAAAGCGCCTGAAAAATCGCAGCCAGTCTTCTGGGACTCCGAAGAATTTCAAGACTGCGAGAATGGAAGCGTGAGGCAGAGACGGTCCAAACCATTTAAAGTCGGACCGGATGACGGTAAATTCTCCACGAAGGGTGGTATGGACCAGAGACTCCGTAATCAAAAGATGGAGCAATGAATGCTTTGTTCCAATGGGACTTTTGCGTGTATCGCCTCCAGCGCCATGTTCTTCAGCATCATAGTCCCGCTTGTCTGCTTCCAGCGATCTAGGAAGTTGACTCATAAAATAGTCATTTACATATGTAGCCTTGCGAAAATCATCCACGCAACGCGGGTGGAAGGGAGTCCTCGTAGAACTCGACTTTTCGTCCAGGAAATATCGGCGTCTTTCCCGATGGTGTCTGGGGATGCGCCTGGCATTGGACTTCCAGGCAGGAGAGTGCAGGAATATTTCGAACACGTGCCGGAATTTGACAGGCCACTTCAGGCCAATGTAGTGAAGCAAAAGAGCGTTGATGAGGTCCTCATCCATGAAGACACGATATTTGCCATTTAGCTGCCGTCGCATTTCTACTGGAAGACCGTCTGGTTCCCAGCTCCAGTTATCTAGGAAGGCAAACCGCAAGTTCAAGACGTCTGCGACCTCCTGGGCGACCTCGTTGTTCCTCATGAACTCCTTCAGAATTGCCGTCTTCTCGGGAGAGAGCAGATCACTCCTCAGCAACGACGCACTTACCAATTTGAGGGTGTGGATGATGAAACACTCTCGATCTGCCATCAGTTCGACGCCGAAAATTCTGATCCTTTCGCGGAGCTCCTTGAGAGCCTGCCTAGAGAGCTTCGTCCTGCAAAAGAGTCGATCGAGATAATCCTCGACGCGGGTTGGATCGAGATCGGCGGCCGAAAAGACGAGCGACTCCCAAATTGCCCGCTGCTCATGCATTTCCCGGCGGCCGATTTCTTCAAACGCGGACCGAATATCAGGCGTCGTCTCATCATCCGGTCGAGGCTCCTCAAGACTGGATAACCACTCTTAACCAGAGCGCTGTAGAACGACGCATGCTCGTACTTGACGGTGAGACAAGCCAGTTTGTGTTCGAGCTGCGATATCCACTCTTGGATGACTTCATCAGAAACAGAAGCATCGTAGTTGCTCTGCAAGAGGAAGCGGCGGACGTTGATATTGCCATTGCGTTCCCAATTTGAATTGCCACGGTTGTAGATGGAGGAATGGCCCTCTGATTCGGCCGTTGATATCTTTGTCCATGTCGTCCATGTCGAACGCATCGTTAGGGTTCTCCGTTAAGCGAGTGACGCCTTCGAGAAGGACTCTCGCCTTGGCCCGGAGGTCCGGGGCTCTCGCGGCAGCTGCCATGACTTCATTCTTCCGCTCTTCAAAGAGAGTGCGCTGTTTGGACTGTTCCTCGATCTTTGTGGCATTGATGGACTTGAGCGTTTGGGGAAGAGCGCTAGCCGACGCCATGTTTGATGAGAGTAAGCAGAGAGAATATAAACAGTGTGAGACAATGTGATGGTTCTGTCCCTGCTAATATGCAAGGAACTCGGTTTCGAGAATATCCAAGGTGATAATTGATGGGCTTTTATACAACCTACCTACCTAGGCAATTCCAAAGATGGTGACATCTACTGTCTGGCCAGGCAGGACCTGACTCACCCTGCTACAGTCGCAAAAGAAAAGTCAGCACTAATAAAATCAAAGTAACCAACGTTGGCAACAAAAACGTGGGTTTTGATGGAACTCTATGTCGCAGCTGCCTTGGCTTTTAAGTTAACCTGACTCATAACGCCTTGTCAGAACCCTAACACGGAGTGGCACTGCCACACAAAATCGAGTCATATTCATCACACACACGCAACACATAACTTATACACAATGGTATCAATTATTTAGCAGAGTCACATGAATCACCTGAACCTTCAGAGAGAGAGGGAAAAAAAAACAAATTTCACCAGAAATCCGCCAAAATCATGAGTCAAACTGGGAATGGCGATCTACTAGAGAAACTGCCTTTGCTGTCCTTCTTTCCGTCCGGAACGACGGCTTCGTAGTCCGGACTGCTCTCCTCGTCGGCGACCTCTTGGCCGTATGCGACAGATAGATGCTCGACATCGACATCCACTTCCTTCCAGGAGTCGCTCGTTGCAGGGATCGGGAAGAAGCGGGTAAGCACATAGTACACCCCAGAAGAGACGATAAATCCAGCAAAGTAGTTGACATTGTATATATAATGGGCGCCAATGGGGACCGTGCGTCCGACGGCACCAGCGAAGCCGACGATGTTGATCAGAATCCCTGCGATATAGGCAGCAAACCCTCGCCACGAGAACCCATAGGTAAAGTAATACGGGGAGCGCTTCCGTGCGCTGTAAAGCTCCTTGATCTCAAGGTAGCCCTTGCGAACGACATAGTAGTCGCAAAGGATAACCCCGGAAATCGAGGAGAGGAACACTGAATAGGCCGACAGGTAGGTCGTGAATTGGTTAGACGACGAGAGCAAATTCCACGGACACATTGCGAGACCGACGGCGGCGCAGATATATCCACCACGACGGATGTTGATGAAGCGGGGCATCAGCGCAGTCATGTCTGTGCCAGCAGACACTGAATTGGCCGCGATATTGGTGCCGAGCTGCGCAAGCGCGAATCCGGTCGAAATGACAAAGATGCCGAATCTCTCGCCAGAGCTGGCGCCATTAAGAAATCTGCCCAGCAATTCCAGGGGATTCCAGATCGTCTCGCCATAGAGCACTGTCGACGAGGAAGAGGCGATAATTCCGATAAACGAGGTGAGAGCAAATCCAATAGGGATCGCAAAAAGCTGAGACCAGAGGGCATCCCGGGGCTTCCTCGCAAAACGGGAGGAATCGGGATCATTGACGATGAGGGTCGCGAAATTGGCGATCGAGGACATGATCCCTTTGATAACCGCCCATGCCAGAGCGCTCCCATGGACAGTGACTGGCTGGTGGACGATTGGACCGATTCCATTCGCTCTCTTGATCGCCCATGCGAAAAACGCAATCATCGCCATCGGGGTGAAATAAGACTTGACGGTGAAAAGATGCCGGATTTTGTGGACAGGAAACCAGATCGCCGGCAGACTGCACAGCCAGAAAATAAAGAAACTGACAAAGTCTTTGGTTGTAGTACCAGAGCCCGCTGGCATGGTATTACGCAAGTTGGCATAGCTTGGCCAGATGGACTCAATCATCAAGGTCACGCACTCGCCTGAAAAAATTGTCATCAGTAAACAAAAGAGATACAGAGTTATGAGACGAGAATGAACGCACCACCTATCCATCCTTGGACTCCATACCAGATGCACTAATGTCCCAGTCAGTCATGACATCCACAAATTATTGACATGATGGAGAGAAGGAGAAGAATAGACTCACCGCCATGGCCGCTCGATTGAAAACAGGCCACAGGGAACCCCAGATGCCGAAGGACGCTCTCGACACGACAGGAAACGAGATGTGATACCTGGCGCCGATTCGACCGGTCGCGCAGATAAAACAGCCAGAGATGAAGTATCCAACCCAGACACAGATCCACGACTGCCACCAGGACAGGCCAGAAACGATCATCGAAGAAGATATCATCCATGTGTTCTGCAGGGGGGATTGTCAACAGGCGATCAAGATGACGAAATTCCACGAGGAGGGATTGATAGGACTGGAATAATAAGACACATACGATATTCGCGGAGTCTGCAATCCAGAAGGCCACGAAGTTCCATGCTCCCCATTCGCGTCGGTCCGGTTCCACTGCCACAAAATGTATTGTCAGCATCGTGGGTTCCAAGGACAGAGTCAGGATATAAAGACTTGGTTTGTTCCTCACCTGGACGAAGATCATGGTTGGTCAACAGCAGCTGAGCATTGGTCAAGCCCGGCTCGCTGGTAACGGCCAACTTATTGACGTAGTGTCTGGCTTTGGAAGTAGATATCGTGGCCATGACGTTCCTAAGAGACTGAAATGAATTTTCGAGGGGAAAAAGAGAGAGACAAGAAAATTAACCGGCAATCCCAGTCGCCTGTAAATGACAGCGTTTTCTGAGCGAGCTCATCCAAGACACTGTCGGGGACAAAAAGAAAGCCAGTCCGTTCAACTTTGCACAAAGCAAGGCAATGCGTGGAAGGATGGATGGATGGCGGTCGCAACAACCACGCATTAATTACTTTGGCAAGCAATGTCAATAACACAGGACACAGGGTGGAAGAGGACAGTGGCATATTATATGCAAAATTCAAAAATAAGAAAAATAAAAAAAGGCTAAGGAACCCCCGATGTCATAGATGCGTGGCGGCTAACCCGCTGGATGGAAGAAATCCCATCCACATCCACAACCTCCAAAGGCAGGTCCCACATAATTTTTCCTTCTCCACGGGATGATGGGCTGATGGGACGGGAAAAGAAAAGCCACAAAAAGGCAAAACAGTAAGCGATCAATCAGGGATCGTGCATAGGCAGCCCAAGTCCGGTTGTTATCGCGGTTGAGCTGATAAGATGTAATAGGTTTGCGTGTCGTGATTAGCGAGACGGCGGTCGCATATCTCGATCCGGCGGTTGGCGATGACGTTTTAGTGTGCCCTCCATCTCGGTCCGCTGGACGAAGGAATAATGACACACGGCGGGTGGGAGGATCGTCTGGCAGCACAAGCCCTAGGAGTAGGAGGCCTTAGCTCAGGGTTTGAGTTCTCCCTAGCAGGCATTTTCTCCGCACAGCGACTGATCTGGGTCTTCGTCTTGCGAGCATTCTAGTGGTGGCTGCCAGCTCCGCGAGTGGTCGTGGCCGGCCTTTATCGCGGGCCGATAACGGCGGGACTCGTGACTCGATCGCATCGAGTAAGCAGCTCGCGTGCTTATCTCGGCCCACAGTCAGTATACAAATAATACTCGGAACAGTTAAGTGCTCGTTATCATTCTATTCCAATAGTAGCTTCGGCTGAATCTTCCTATCGAATAGCTGTCCTGGGTGGACTCATTGAGACATTACACATGAGTGAACCATAATGCAAAACCCTTCCTCCCCTTGTCATGCTATTTTACATTAAAAGGTAGTAGTAATACATTGCCGGATTTGAACCCCCCCCCCATAGTGAGCGAGGGTTTATCCTTTGTTATTCCACTTTCCGAATTTCACATAGTCGTCGTGGAGCGTCTTGAAAATCGCCCGTCCCGAAGCATCCAGCGCCGCGTTCAGTGATCGCTTGGTCTCGCGTGACATCACGTCGAGCACCGCGTAGAGACCGGGGAGCAGCGCTGCCTTCATCTCTGGGCTCACGGGACTGAGCAGCGAGCACTCCGTGTACGCCATCACCAGGTACTGCAGATGCTGGCCGGCAACTCGCTTCGCCTTCTTCGTCTGATCCGTCAGCGCTTCATGCCCGGGGCCAGCCTGGGTCGGTCTGGACACAGCGGAGACGGTTGGATCGCAGAGAGAGGTCAGGAGACGCGTGAAATGCACGGCGTGGGAGGCATCCAAGGGTGCAAGCCACGGCGGTCGTTCCTGGATGACTGCTGACTGGCCACGCTTGCGCTTTCGGCTCGGGGAGAAGAGGCAGGCAAGCAGATGTTGCATAGCCGGAACAATCAGGTGGAAGCGTCCACCGAGTTTCTGTCGATAGAGACCAAACAGCACACCCGTAAGCCGGCACAGGCGTACGTAGATGGTACCTGCAAACTCGGCCGAAATTCGGGGGCCAGACGAAGAAGCGCACTTGGAGACTGTAGTCATGATCTCATCTACATTCCACTGGGTGACGGCGCGAGGGTGAGAACGGAGCAGGATATCCAAGCACTCAGCGGCAAGCGAGAATTGCTCAATCGAAGTGCTACTTTGCAGTGATTCGGTAAGCTGGCCACCAAGTGCGGACAGCTCCTTGGCGGTAGGGCTCTCCTTTTCTTCGACCGGACTCAGTGTAGCGACTGCCAGACCCACCAGCAACAGGTGATATGAAGCATTGGGACCCTTAAAGCCAGCCTCTCTTAAGCCATGAATGGCCTTGACCAGTTCATCGGAGCTCATGGAACGGAATCGTTCAGTCGCTTCCCGTATGAATAACTGTTGTTCTTCACCGAACATGTGTTGCAACGGGAATGCTTTCGCAAGATTCGACCTGGGCAACACGACCTTCTCTCCAGGTCTCGTTCCGGCAATCACGCGATGTCTGATGAGTCTCTGCAGGTATCGGCCAGACTTGGTGGTCCCCTCCATGACGGTCTCTTCAATCTCTCTCAGACAGTCGTCAGCTTCCTCACTGCCCTCAGCGATATCTTCAAAGTCCTCCAAGGCATCCAGCGACTTCGTCAACGCAATGATATCCTTTTCCTTCGGAGTCTTTTGTTTCAACAGGTCTTTTTCTGCCTGAAGGCTGGCCAATACCAACTTAAACACCTTTTGTCTCTGTGAATTGAGATCTTTTTCGTCAACTACACCAGAAAGCTCGGTGCGATGGCTCCACAACTGCGATAGTAAGACGCGAACAAGGAATTGCTCCAAAGCTTTGTCGTCGAGTGACTTCAATTTGGAAATCGACGAAGACACCTTGTGATGTATCTTCTTGAAGGCCTTTTGCTTCTCGTCGTCGGGCAGGACGATAAATTTGGAAATAACGGCCTTCACTAGGCAACTGAAAGACTGTAGCACTCGAAGATCCATGTCTGAGCCTTCCAACGGTATGACCTTTGCGATCGACCACAAGACTTCCCAATCGCTGGTGATAGCGGCGGATGACTTAGGCATCTGTGCCAATTTGGCCATCAAAGACAAGATATCGGCAGATAATTCCAAGGAGCACTCCTTGCTCAGGAGAATCTCCTTGAGCGTATCTAAGATGACCCCTCTATGATGACGACCAACAAGCCGAGTCGGGAATCGCTGCAGACTGTTGACAACAAATGGGCGGACTTTGACACTCTTCTCGAGTTTCTCAGAGAGAACGACGAGTACATCTTTGCCAATCTGCGGAACGTTGAGTAGATACTCATGAGAAACAAGAGCAGTCCACAGCTGAAGGAACCCCGGACTCGAAGGGCTTGCAGTAGAAGTTGGCAAGGAAACAGGTTTGCGCTGAGGGACGGTAGCCAAAGCAAGCAGCTTGTCGAACATGCCCTGTCGGTTCTCGGCTTTGACTTTGGTCCAAACCTCTGGTGTTCTGAGGAGCGACACCAGGTAAGCCATGGCAAGGGCCAGGGGCGAGTCCAAGTCTTCAACACGGCCATTCCATGACCCTTCCAGAGAAGCTCCATCCGCAGGGATGAGCGCCCGTAAGAACGTGACAATGTTTTCCGCAAGCGTGTTGACCTTCTCAGAATCCGTATTCTCGAATTCCTTGGTAACCTTCAGAACGAGGCGAAAGGCTTCCAAGATTTCCAGGTAATCTTTCGAATCTCCCTTCGGCTTTTTGTGGAGCTGGAGAATGATCTTCACGGCTTGGTCTACCAAACTGGTCCCAAGCTCGTTAAGTAAGCCGTCGGGTGATTTCATGGTAGCGTCGACCAGATTTGCAGCAAGTCGCCATAAGCGCCATCGCCAGTGCATACCGTTGCGAGAAGAGAGAGCCGCCTTCGAAGCTTCAATGACCTGATTCACCGAGTCAACCATCACCTCGAGACCGCAGTAATTTCTCCAAGTCTCAGACCCTGCCTCCAGGATCACCAAGTAAGCGTAAGAGGTGGCCGTCGTAGACATGCTCCCGTTCTTAGATCTCACTTCTGCGACAGCCGTCTGAACTTGGGTAACCACCTGCATGTCCGTGAGCGACGTCCTCATCAACTCCGCATAAACCTTGGCCAGATCGTCGTCTTCCCAAATCGAAAATTTCGCCAAAGCATCGTTCTTGGCACGTGCCGTTTCCACATTGACTAGCTGCTCGCGCCAGATTTCAACGAACCTAGGGAGGTCTCTCGCGGCAGCAAACCCGCGAAGCAGAGGAATAAGGATCCCCGTCTTGATCAGCTGATATGTTTCATCGCTGCCCTTGGAGCTGCTGGTCCACTGTAGCATAATCTTTTCGAGAAGGGCCGTCAAAAGACGCCGTGAATCCTTGAAGCCAGAGTTTGGAAGAAAGATGTCAACGCCCAGCTCAACAAGAACAGCCGTCAAACTCCAGTGGACCTTCTCCAAGCTATCCTTGAGCAGGCCTGTATAGGCGGCATGGGTAAGGAGAGTATGGAGAGAAAGCTGAACCTTTCGATTCCGGACAACGCGAAACATCTGCTCCAAGATTGGGACGAAGCTAGATGTGTCATGTGACGGGCTAGCTTCCTTGATAGCTGAGAATGCCAGTTCCGCGATTGCGACGAAGAAAGTCTCGAGCCAAGGAGCCTCAGCCGTTTGCCGACGGAAGGTATCCCTTGGCACGGAACGAATAGCGATATCGAGAAAAGTTGGAAGGAGTTCGGCAGGCTTCCACGGGGGATTTGTGATTTTAGCCGTAGCGCCGACTGTATCAACCTCCATTTTATCTGTAGAACCTGTCTCTTGGTCGGAGGTTTCCTTCAAAAATGGCTGAAAGGTAGCCGTAACCGGTTTCACGGCACTCCAGTCGGGCTCGTCATTTGAATAATCGATTCCAGAACCGCCTCGGGCCAAGAAGGCAGCGCGGGCAGGAAGTACGACATGAAGGGCGATGAGGCGCTCGACTGCGTGAACAACATATGCTGCATCTTCGTAATTATTTCCAAAGAAGTGTGTGGCGATTTGGAGCCTCAAAGCCTGGAGGAAGCAATTTTCGGCGAACGCGGACTATTACAATTGTTAGCGCTGATAACTTCTATACAGAAACTTCCTCTCACTGACATTGCTGGAACTGTTGTCCGAGTCGTCTTCGCGCTCTGATCTAAGATCCCAGAGCTCAAAGACAGCCGCAGTGACGTGGAGAAGATGTTGCAAATCGGTGCCTCTTCCGATTCTAGAAAACTCGATGATCAAACGGGCAGACAGTTTCATCGACTTCCCCAGCATGCGGGCAACAAACGCTGGTTCTGCACGAAGCGACTGCCTGAGATGAGAACGTGCGACTTCATCAACATTGTCTCTCTTGTTGAGCAGCGTCATAAGACTGTAGAGACAATCCAAGACATAGATGAAAGCGGTAACAAAGGGGTTGAGCAAAGGACGCTCTTCGCGGCTCGAGTCGTTACTTTCGACGCTGTCCATTCTCTTCCTCTTCTTGTTCGCGCCGTTGCCATTGAAATCCTTCTCTTGGACCGGAGATGCGCCTAGGGTATGGCTCGTCTCCGAGTCTGAACGCTCCACACCTGGTGCGATGGCGTCTTGGAGAGATTCCAGAACACCCTGCTCCAAATCCTTCAACACGTCATTCAAGACGGCCAGGAATTTGAAATCGCTCAATATTGCCGCAAGGGTCTTCGTAGGAATGCGATGAATAAGCTGCTGGAAGAGAAGAAAAGACACAGGGTCTTCCCGGTAGGATTGGGTCTTCAACTTCTTCAGCAGCCACCTGAGCACCCATTCTTCCTTTGGGGCCGAGGCAATGTGAGAACGAAGGTCATGATTGAGTTCGGGATGACCTGCGCACAGCGCTAGGTCGATCTCCAGAATCTGCGCAGCTTGTTGCAGCTGGATGGCAGGGCCAGCACTGCCTCTCTCCAGCTGCAACAGCGCCTCTTGCGATGACAAAGATTGCTGCGCCAGAAACACGATATTAGTCATGATCTTTTTACTGAAATTCATACCAAAACTTCAATCGCAACAAAGAATCTGCCTTACCTCCGGAGCAGGAGCCATCGCGAAAGAGGGAGTTCGGCGTTGTTACTCTTCCAGAGAAAACAGGTCGATTCTCCGCATGTATGTATGGACTGTACTATCTACAGTCGATAGATAAAAAAATATTTATCAGTTGGAGCTCGGAATGTGGAACCAACTTAGCCGCCGAATGAAGTGACGAAAGACGAACAAGACTTGAGACGATACTCCGTAGGGAGGGCCCGCCGCGCAGTGACTGGCAGGCCAGCCTAGTTTTTCCGACCGGGCAAGCCGCAAGTCAACGAGAGCTCGCATTCACTTCCAACAACATCAAACCAAACCAAAGGATCCGAAGTTATTATTGTCCTTGAGAACAACCCACCCTATTCAAACTCAATTGCCTCTCACCTCCCCTTCCCCCGCCTTTGGTTTCGTACAGGTTAGTGAAGACCCGTGCCGTGCAAGGCAATTCACATCGGACGCTGACAAAGCAATTTATGAACCAGATTCGCCCACAATGGCTGACTCGAACGATTCCCGGCCGGCGGCGCCGCTCGCGAGACATAGCAAGCCCGTCAGTGAAGCTTTGCTGAACGAGAAGGTAAATCCACCGTGAAAGGACCTCCCTCATTATTGTCCGGCCCTCAATTGTTTCTATTTCGGAGCAAAGGGCCATTTCCGCGACTCCCCGCCCTGACACGAATGCCCCGTGCCCCCCTACTCTGTACAGCCGCGGTAGTAGAGACTCTGATGGCTAATCTGAGCCCCCAAACCTGGGTATGTCAATGCTAGTGGGATCGCGCGATTTCCTCCCTGATCATCCGCTCAGCGCTGGGTCTCGGTTTCGGTGTGGTCTTTTCGGTCCTGCTGTTCAAGCGGAGAGCTTGGCCGGCCTGGATTGGTCTGGGCTTCGGTGCAGGCCGTGCATGGGAAGAGGCGGACGGTATGTTTTTCGGTTTTCACTACACTCAAGTATACACTCAAGTAATTTCTGTTTCTGGGACTAATTCATTCTGCCGGGTGGAACAGCTTCGTTCCGTCGAGGTGACCAGCCTGTCACAGATGCCCTGCGTCAGGCTAGATCGTGAGATACCCGCAATTTGCAACAACGATGAAGAGCAGAGAGTTTTTTTGGTGTGCAAGCGCGCGAACGTGTGTGTGTGACACGAGGTCCCATATCGCATTCTTTTTTTTCCCCTGGAGATCTGCTGAGATTCAGCGCTAGGGAGGGGAATTGCCAGTTTTTATGCCCTGATAGACAGACAATTTTCTCTTACAAAGATGTACAATACCTGTACAGAAACGAAAGCACGGAAAGTATGGGGAAAAAAAAGGAAGCGTCTTTCAAAAGACGTGCTTTAGATATCTGTTTGCCAAATCTTTTTACTTTATGAATCATTGCTTTTTTTTTGATCCTTTCAACAACGAGTACAAGAGCTACGGAACATTTTTCTTTTCTTGCATAATCATTTCATAGAATGGGCTTGTGCTCTGGAATTCCCACGAATTGGGCAAGGCTAAGTCACCCGAGCTACAGGGCAAAATCGACACATGCGTATATGAAAAGCCGAGAGCATATATATCTATATACCTAACCTACTATAAACCCTAATTTTATCCATACACCACGTCGCTCCAAGAATATGTTCATGCCAATAAATGAAGTGCTGGATGAGGTGGGTGATAGAGAAGAGATGGAGGGGCAGGAAGGGAAATGCAAATACACAATTCTACCGGTAATCCTTATATATATCGGGTATCTGATTCGTCAATCATCTCGAAACCGTAGCCCATATCCGAAACCAATACAAATAAATAAATAGACGAGGAAATAAACTGACGATGCCGATAAGTATGCAGGATTTGCTTGGAGACCCTACACGAGGGGTGCTTCGATCATCGGTGGGCTCAAAGCTGAGGGCGAAAATTCATCAAGCGTCCGTGCCGCGGTAGTAGAGTCAGCAAACTCATGCGATGGTTGCGAAGGACGTCCATCGCCCACCGTCGCCCTCTCATCAGGAGCAGGAGCAGGAGCAGGCTCCAGGGTCACGCCGTCATGACCACTATGTGTGAGACAACCAATGCAGCTGCAGTCATTTCCACACTGACAAGTTCCTGTTACATTCGAGCATGCGCCAGGCAGTCCAACGGGATACTCAAGCGTGTAATACGCGGATGGCTGCATCAATTGAGGTGTTGTGTAGTCTGTCGAGGCCGTCGCAGAGAGCACATTGTCGAACGTTGAGGTCGACGTGTTCTCGGCGGAACCTTGTGAGTGCAGCCCATTGCTGGAAGTGACGGCTGTAGTGGGATACGTCGGGGGGCTCATTTGTCCCGCAAAAGGCGTGGAACTCTCAGAATTTTCATCCTCTTCTGCAATACTCATCATATAGCCCATTTCTTGCACATGCTGCCTTGTAGTGTTGTTAAAAGGGTGAGCAGCGCATCCCAGGCATTGGCAGTCATCGCCGCAGTTACACTCGTGTGCGGGATCACCTCCAAACATAGTGGGTTGGACAAATGGATATCCATGAGAGTTGTTGGGGACAAATTGATCCGCACTGACATGATTGCCAAGAGAACTGCCATCGAAGTTCGTTGATGAGTAGTTCATTTGAGGGACTGGATAAGGACTCGTGATGAATCCATTCGTATATGCTGGGCCTTGCATGAGAGCAGCCGCAAAATTGGAATTCTGAGAGGCATATTGTCCCATTTGATGGGACTGGGTCCATGATGGAACCTGTGAAGCACTGTAGGGTGCCTCATTCCAGGAAGGATTGAAATTCACATGCTCTGGGCCAAAACCGGCATCTTTATTGTCTGCTGTAGGCTGCGATTTACTGCAACAGGAACCCGATGGCTGAACAGCAGGAACAGGTTCGGTTCTCTTTGAGCAGCAGCTGGCATCGCTTGTTTGAACGCCTTCATTCTCATTCGGCGTCTGTTTTGGCAGTAAGGTGGGAACGCCTTGGTTGGAGGCTGAAAATCCGGAAGCTGAACTGTGCTGTACAAAGTTGGGGTAAGGAAGGGGTTGGGAGGTTGATGCTGTCTGCAATTCAGAAGCGGAGTTCAATGCCTTGGCAATGTTCTCGGGTGCAGCTTGGAGACTACTCTGCCGTCGGGAATGCTTTTGTATTCTCCCCGGAGCGGACGGGTTCGACGCTGTAACAGAAGGCGTGCCTGAAGACTGGGGTGCTTCAGTTGAGCCTGCCGGTACTTGATATAACGGTCTACACAGACACGTTGACCCTGGCAAAAGGGAAGGTCAATTATCAAATATCGCCTGGAAATTATAGCAAAAGGAGAACCCACCTTTCGGGATGCGAACCATGAAGGCATAGACCTTCTGACAGCTACACGAACCCTTTGGATGCGGGCATTTGGCCAACGGTCGACCCGCTTTGGGGACCTTCATCATCAGCCGGTCGAAATGCTGGCATTTTGAAGATCGATGTCCACGAATACATGGTTCACTATGCAATCATCAGCATGGCTATACAGACCGCAATCGTATAATGAGACCGAAGTGCCCACCATGCCCATTTCGCTCCTTCTTCATCGAGAGGCATGGTAGCGGTTGTGTTCGAAGCAGAAGCTCATCGGCCGGATCACGACCGCGTGGAATACAGCCTCTCAGGCTATCTCCTATTCTCTATCTTCTGGAAAAGACTGGGCTCTCTGATCGGCTTTCTTGCGTCCCTATCTATCGAGCTGTGTTTCTGAAATAATTTCCAATGGTATCTCCTCCCGTTACAGATTCGAAATAGGCCAATCGCAGCTCGGTTTGTAGGACGTTTTCGATTTGCGTCGTCGTACATGCACAAGACAGAATGGCGCTCGTAAATCGTAATCAGGTGAGATTATCGGGGCTGAGCACGATCGGACTTGGAAGCCGCACCGGGGGCAGCGCACATAGACTGCGCAATCAAGCGCAATGAGAGAACGAGTCTCGAAATTAGCAACCGTCGAGAGGAGGATCATGCAACCTGCTTGAAAGACGGCCAGAGGAGGGGGCTGGGCACTGCAGACGCGATAGCACGCGGGCGATTTGAAGCATTTGATCGGCATCGGCGCAAAACGGAGGGGAAGCCAAGTGGGCTGTAAAGTCGTCCGCCCAATCCGAGACGGGCAAGACTCCCGCAGCCCGCGCCGGCGCGTTGATTGGGCCAGGGCCCGGGCGGTGAGCGAGGAAATGAAGGTCCGTTTCACCTGAAGCCATACAGGATTACCAGCTGCTTGCTGTATACTTGTTTACATGACTGCGACATACACTGCCCGCCCACGGCGCTCTCCAGAGCAGGGTCTCTCATCAATGCCCCCCAAAGGCCCCAATGGACCCGGCCCAGCAGCGCCGGGCGACGACCACGACCCCGAAGGCGCGCAGGATCCGTCTCCGAGCCCTCCTCCCCGACAGCTGTTCTCCGTTCCAGCACCGATAAAGCGTATCTTCGATCGGTTCCCCGTGATAGCCTATCCACCAAACGACCTGCCCGGAAGCTCTTCGCATGGCGACCCAGACCGAAATAGGCTATATGTCTTCATTGATGCGGCCGGAGCAAAGAGGGGGGCACCGTCGTTCAACCCGCAATGCTTGCGGTGGCAGGTTTGGATGCCCGGAGAAGCTCCGCATGCCGGGGAGATTGCGCTGCTAACGATCCGTGAGCTTTCCAGGCATACTTGAAATTCGTCGGCATCGATTTCGACCTTATCCCGTCCAACAACCATGCGTCGCCCACGGGGGCGCTCCCGTATCTCGTTCCTGCCGTGCCGCCTCGCACCCTCGCTCCCATCCCCGCCAACAAGCTACAGAAGTGGGCCATAGAACAAGTCCACTGTGAAGAAGAGCAGCAGATCAGCATACGATTCGACGTGTATGCGTCTTTGCTGGATCACCGGATACGCAATGCCTGGGTACGTCGACGGAGTGCGTTTGATGGTGGCGCATCGTACTGACGGTGGAGATAGCTGTATCAGCTGTACCTGAACGGTGACAATTTTAATGCGGTTGCTCGAAGGCTCTACGTCGATCCGTCGACCTCCAGCTCTGCTGTGCGCGCCGCTCTCGCCGTCCAACTGCAGCAAGCAGCCCGGGCGGAGCTGCTTAAATACTCACCTTTCATCGACGTCAACGATCTCGAGGCGGAGGCGGATAACGCGTTCGAAGCTCTTCAAGCGCTGCTAGGTGATGGGGAGTACTTCTTCAACCGCCGCAGTCCGGGGCTGTTCGATGCCAGCGTGTTTGCGTATACGCATCTCATTCTGGACGAGAAGATGGAGTGGAAAGACAACCGGTTAGCGCGGTTGCTATTGAAGTACGATCGCCTGGTCCAGCATAGGCAGCGGTTATTAGAGAATTATTTTTAAAAGTGGAGTTGGGTGAGTCAAGCATTTTCTTGGAGCGGATGTGTTGATTTTAGACATGTACTTGTATGTATTATGCATATCATGGAGAGCGTTTTTTTCTTTTCTTTTCTTTTTCTTTTTTTTTTATCCACAGGGGTATCAGCAGAAAGGCCCTGGAAAATTCAAATCCAATTCGAATTCGAATTCAAATTTAATTCACAATCCAAACTTCTTCCTAAAACAGACACCAAACCAAACCGTGACCCCAACCCACTTCCTCGCCCTCGGCCCCAGCACATCCACCATTTCCTCCGTAACGCTCCTTTCACGGACACCCTCAGCACCATCACCAGTAGTATTTTCATCATTCAGAACCACAACCTCGAACCCCTCCTGTGCCGCAGCAGCAATGACATCCGGCACCCTGTGGCAATAGCTCCTCTCCGGACGGATCTTCTTCCCCGAGGCCCTGTCCACGAAACCAGCTTGGCTGAGGGCGCCCATGTCAGCGTGCATGTTGGTCACGAGGAGATACCCCCCTGGACGGAGTAAGGAGGTGGCGTGCGCGAAGAACATGTCTAGCGGGATGTGTTCGAGGACGAGGGTGGAGATTATCCCAGATGCGTCTCGGGCTGGACACTGTTGTTGAGAGAGGGACAGGAGGAGGTCGTACTGTTGTAGCGTGACTCTAGACATATTCCTCGAAGAGGACGAAGAAGACTGAAGAAACCACCTCTCCACCGCCCCCCGTGCAACATCCAGCATTCCCCGCGAAGCATCCAGCCCGACGATCTCCGCATCAGAAGGCGCAAAGGCAAGGAGTTGGAGGGTATTTCTTCCCGTGCCGCAGCCTAGATCGATCAGTTTGAGTTTGAGCTTGGGTATGCACCTGGAGCTAGATCCGTCATTCTCCTCCAGAGGCGGATTCCCCTCTTTCATGATTCTTGACAGGAAGGAAGGTATCAAGGATCGCATTTCGATGGTGTCGAGCGCTTGGAGGAAGTTGCCGTCTGTGTCGTAGATCTGTATGTATATATAATATATATCAGTATATATGTACTGGATTCTATTCATCTTACGGAGCAAGATAGGTAATGATATGGAGTGTAAAGTGCATAACTCACCTCCGCCCACTGATCATATGCCTGTATCGTATCGACATATTCGATTTGTCGAGCTGGAGTAGCAGCAGTAGCAGTAGCAGCTTTTTCAAGATTAGACTGGATGGTGGTTTGCATTTTCTTTTTTTTTTTCGTTTGTTCTTGTTAATACACAAAACTAATAATGCAACTGAATGACAATCTCGTTTATTTATATAGGTTTGTACAGTATGTACAGTACATACAATGAGGAATGAAGAAGAAGAAGAATTGAAACTAATACCTAGTAGTAATTATACATTATACTATAATCTGTAAGTTTAGACCTGAGTGGAGAGGTTAGGTAGGTTCCCTAACTTATCTAGGAAGGTGAGTAAGTATTGGTATGGACATCGTAGTATCTAACATGATGACTCATTTGATACTGATCTGAATTCAGTTTTTGTACCGACACCATCGACCGAACGAATCGCCGAGGCAAACCGAGAATTTAAGTTTTGGTTGGGTTACCATACAGTATACAGTGCACAGGTAATACGATATAGCTTGCATCTATATACCAGCCGTAAATGCATCATTCATTGCTGCTAAGATATACAGGGGTCTCATGTGCAGAACAGAACAGAACATGCCATGCTCAGACAGAGAAATAATGCAAATGAGATAATGCAAATGAGAGAGACAAAGGAAAATCGTCACCAGACAAAGGAAATCCCATCTCGTCGTCCTGGATCATCCAAGTCAAAAAAAGGGGGCAAAGAAAAGAAAAGAAAAGGCATAACAGTTAAAAGGTGCGTAACATAGCTCAGATCCTTGGATCTTTGACATGACAAAGTGGGAATAGAATCGAATAGACCGAAAGACCCGAAAAAAAAAGGAAAAGAAAAGAAGACAAGCAAACAAACGTAACCCGAAATCGTAACTGTACAGACATAACCGTTCAATCATCCATGCCATCCCAATAATGCCCACCGTACCCCCGTTCACCATTACCCATAAGTATAACCGTAGCCATGCCATAGCCGATAATGCAACTTCCCCATCAGATACCATCATCATCTAGTAAACGGACCCCCCAAACGGAGCCGTCTCCTTGAGATCTTCTACCAGATCCTCGACATTGCTGAGGTAGCGACCGAGCAGTCTCTGTTTCTCCTCGGTGGTGCGCGTCTCCCGGTTGCCGCGACCGTCCCCGGCTCCGTTGACACTGCGCGAGAAGGCGCCCGCCAGTTTGCTGGGGCTCCGCTGCAGGCCCAGCACGGCCGTGTTGGGTGCGCTGGCGCCGGCGGCTGGAATGGTGGGCGTCTCCGGCATCAGGTAGAAATATAAGAACTCGACCAGCTTCAACTTGACTTCGCGCGCTGTCGCACGAAGCTTAAACAGCGACGTGACGGTCAGCAGGCCATCGAGCTCCTCGAATGTCCGCGTGTTGGCCGGATTGTCGAGCAGGGCGGTCACCAGGGTCAGCAGGGTGGAGGACTGGATGGCGGGACAATTGATCGGATCGAGCAGGTCCAGCAGCAGATTCATGTAGATCTCACGCGCGAACAGGGACCGCGACGGCGGGTGGAGGAGCAGGACGCCCTGGATCAAGTCCAGAGTCGAGATGATGAGCAGATCGTTGGTGCCATTGCTACCGCGACCGAGCAGGTGTTCCAAGCATGTAACCAGGCGCATCGCAACTATGCCGGACCAGTCGTAAGTGCTATCGTCCACACGCGCAGGAGGGTGTTGTCACTCTGCATACCGTTCCATTGGAACCCTTCTTGCAGCTTGAAAAACTCTCTGAAGGCCGGATCCTCGGCGAGCTCGTCCAGCGGCTTCGGAGTCAGTTGCGACGTGGACCTCCTCTTGTCGGCTGCCGCCTGTTTGGGCCTTGAAAGGCATATCTGCGCCAGCAAACCCTCGACCTGGCGCAGACCCTTGCGGATCTTGCTGGGCTCGTAGGAAGACAGGTAGTCGAACGAATGCGCCAACAACGCCTCCATGATGATGCGGAAGGACTCGAGTCGACCGATCGGGGAGAAGCAAGCAAACGAGTTCAAGGAACAGGCCGGCAGCAGGAGGAAGCACACTCCCGGCACGCAGCAGCGGGAGCTCTGAAGGCTGACGGAAGAGCTGTCGAGGCGAGCCGGGCGATCGGGACGATCGATTAATTAAATATGATTCCATGACGCCATGGGCGGTCGAGTCGCGCAGTGGGTAAACTGTAAACAGGGCGGGCGGTTGGCTGGGTGAACGATTCTGCCACCGCCCGCCCCCCGCCAACACGCTAGCAGTGTCGATGCTGTCCTGCAGCTAAGCATCAAATAGCGTCATCTCGCGCTCGATAGTCGGGCTGGAGCGCGTGGTAGGGCTGGCATGCAGCAATGCTCGGGGAATTTGTGTACCCAAAGTGGTCCCAGCCCCTCTCTTTCTCCACGGCAGGCAATGGACTCCCAATAGCCTGGCTCATCTTCCTGATACGCTGGAGGAGTACAGAGTATGAAGTACGGAGTAGTTTTGGATTTACAAATTACGACTACAGTGGAGGTCGAGTAGTACAAAGCATTGTTTCATTGTTTCGCCTGCAAGGGGCATGCCAAAGTGACAGCTCATCTCCTGTCCGTATCCATGGAAAGCCGCCGCGCTAACCGTCGTGCGGCTGCCTCCACCCAAATCACATGCACGCCGCTGCGGAGCCCGTCTCGCCGTGTCTCTCTCTCATATTCATTCATCTGTTAGCTGCAGATCGTTCGTCTCGTGCGACTCTGAACCCACCATCCCAATCCCCAGCCTGCCCACTGAGCGTGCTCTCAACTGAACATGCCTCCTGAGCCTTTACAGTCGCCGACCGTGATTCCCCCGCGCACCAGTTCGACCGGCGCCGTCAGCAGCAGCAGCAATGGGAGTGCATCTGCATCGCGACCGTCGAGCTTGGGCCCCATCTCCGAGGCCGAGTGGATGGCCTCGTCCAAAAAGAAGCTGCCTCTGAGCACGATGAACAAGCATGGTCGGAATCGATCCAGCCTCGACTGGACCAAATACAAGGAGGGGATGTGGACGCAGGACAAGGAGCAGATCCTGCTGGGCCCGTACGACTACCTGCTGCAGCACCCGGGCAAGGACATACGGAAGCAGCTGATCACCGCCTTCAACGCGTGGCTCAAGGTGCCTCCGGACAGTTTGGAAATCATCACTAAGGTTGTGGCGATGCTGCACACAGCGTCACTCCTGATCGACGATGTCGAAGATTCTTCCGTTCTCCGGAGGGGAGTTCCCGTAGCCCACAGCATCTTCGGAACCGCGCAGACGATCAACTCGGCCAACTACGTGTATTTCCTTGCTCTGCAAGAGGTGCAGAAACTCAACAACCCCGTGGCGATCGACCTCTACGTGCAGGAGCTGCTGAACCTGCACCGCGGCCAGGGCATGGATCTGTTCTGGCGGGACACGCTGACCTGTCCGACCGAGGAGGAATACCTGGAGATGGTCGGCAACAAGACGGGAGGTCTTTTCCGGCTGGCGGTCAAGTTGATGCAGGCGGAGAGCGAGACGGATAAGTATGTACACTTCGTGACGATCCCGGGAAGGAAACCTAGCTAATGGAAATCTGTTGCAGGGAATGTGTACCTCTGGTCAACTTGCTGGGGTTGATCTTCCAAATCTGTGATGACTACCTCAACCTGTCCAATACGACCTACAGCGAGAACAAGGGTCTCTGCGAGGATCTGACCGAGGGCAAATTCTCCTTCCCGATCATCCACAGCATCCGCGCCGACCCGAGCAATGTCCAGCTGATCAACATCTTGAAGCAGAAGACCAAGGACGAGGAGGTGAAGCGGTATGCGCTGAGCTACATGGAGCGGACAGGCAGTTTCGAATACACCCGGAAGGTGGTCGCGGAGCTGCGGGAGAGAGCCCTGGACCTGATCGACGAGATTGATGGGGGACAGGGCGAGGGCGACCTGGTCCGGGCGATTCTCGAGAAGATGGTCGAGTTGACCTTGAAAGACGACAAATCAGACAAGTAACGCAGCTGGCTGGCTCTTGATTTATGACCTTGCCTTTCTATGACCACCATATATACCCTTGTCTTTGTGTTATGTTCCTATATATCTAATGAGCGGTTCCTTGATGGAATCAGGTGACACGAGCTCTGGATTGGATGATGTATCTCATGCCATGTAACGAACGAATTTGCCACGACAGAATTACTTTCGGGAATTTCAGAATGCAATGTATGAATGTACAGTACATATGATAATGGATATATATATCTGTCTCTTTCGGTTTCCTCATTGAACTCGACAGTTACTCACTCACTCACTAACGTACTTACTTACATATATCCATCCATCCCTGTTCCTCTCATTTCCTGTCACTCGCTCACTCTCTTGACAGACAGACAGACTGTCAGGTCAGTCCAGCAGCAGGCGGCGGCGGCGGCGGCGGCGGTGGTGGTGGTGGCGGCGAGCCATCCGGACGACGCTTCGAAGAAGCAGAAGCAGAACCAGAACCAGATTTTCTACCCTGAAGCGGGAGCTTGATACTGCAAATCCTCCTCTCCAGCTCACGGAGGGGATCCGGTCCGGTATTCGCAAGATTTTGGTCCGCAGCAGCAGGCGCAGCAGGAGCCGGAGGAGCAGGTAGTGGTCGACGATGACCGATACGCAAGCGCGGCGGAACAAGACTAGCTAAATCGTCGTTTTCGCTAGGACTGCGCTCTGAACCGCCCTCGGAACTGTCGTCGCTGTCGCTGTTATTATTTCCGTCAGCAACACTCCTCCTTCTCGCAGTCGGAAAACCTAGCTCGACCTGCAACATGACATGCTGGAGTATCAGATCCTGAACCAGATTCAGCAGACGGTGTATCTGGGCCTCGACTTGTTCGAGGCGGGTTTGTCGTGCTGCTGCAGCTGCTGCGGCAGCTGCAGCTGCAGTAGTAGGTGCAGAACTGCTGTCATTGTTGAGGCGATTCCTCAGGTCGTCCCGCTCGAGGACTAGTTGTCTTACCTCCCTTACGCGAGTTGATAGGAGGGCTTCGATGGTGTCTAGTCGGGAGGATAGAGTGGTGTGGTCGTGGTCATGGTCAGCGGTAGGGGGAGGAGTGTTCGTCGGCATTATTCACGTTTTAATATAGGTATTTTGTTCGTTATATGCAAGTAAGTAAGTAGCCGGAGTAAAAAACATAAGATGAGAAGAGAAGAGAAGAATGCTAGAGATCCTTAAGGAGAAGAATCATCTCAAGGGACTTGTACTCATTGAGGACATTATATACACTCTTTTACAAATGGTTTATATAGTGTACTGTACCTATGTACCTACACTTGCAAGGAAAGGAAAAGCAAAGAAAAACAAAAGGAAAAAGGAGAAGAAAAAGAAAAAGAAAAGGAGTAAGTAGTAAAATTCACTAGACTTGAAAGGCCGATTCCGTTGATTAATATAATCTGCCTGGAGAGAATTTATATTTATGTTATATGGAAGAAAAAAATGATCGAAGAGAGAAAGACCAAATAAATACAATCCTGCTAGCAGGGAAGAAAAAAACATTCTGGAATTAATTCTTTCAATTTGTTTTTTTTTTGTTCCCTTTCTTTTTTTTTTCGGACTGATTGTTTATTTGAACGAGCTGGTCTTATTTATTTATTTGTTTGTTTCATCTTGGTCTTTGTTTTTATTATTTGTTTGTCGCTTTCTTTCTTTCGTTCTTTCTTCTATCATTTCCTGTCTACATAGCAGCTTCTTTGTTTGTAGGTGGAGTACTTACAAAGCAATCATATATATGTATATATATATTTATCTGCGATCCTCTTAGTTTCTTCCTGTATTGGGAATCATTTCCTAAAACATGGAACAATCACCCTGATCTGGGGTATAGTATAATATAATAAATCTCAAAGAACAAAAGCAGGATCATCACCATCCACCTAATCCAACCTATTTATATCCATCTATTCGTTACATTTTCACACATCTCGCTGAATGAATCGACGGATCACTCTTTCATAGACCAAAAATATACACCAAATCCAGACAGATTCGTATACATCATATAAGTAAATTTCTTACATAACCACACAGCATTCGCCCAGTTTCCGCATGACGCGCGGCAGGACCTTTTCGACGAGCTGCTCGATTTCATCCTGCTGCTGTTGCTGCTGGTACTGCTGCTGTCCTGGGTATTGTTGCTGAGAAGGCTGGTATCCGCCAGTGGGTTGCTGGTGCGGCTGCTGATGCGGCTGCTGGTGTGATTGCTGCGGCATCTCAGCTGGCCCACCGGTGAGGTTGACATAAATCCGACCTGCGTTTTCTTCCGTCGCATACTGCAATCCCAATTCGCGACAGACCTGCTCCACGCGGGGCTTGAGCTTCTGGACATGGTTGACGGAGTGGTTGCCCTTGCCGACAATGCTGTAGATTCTCCATCAGCAATGCTCAATCTGCTGACTATGTCGTTCAAAGGGCTATGCCTACACATGCAGATGCGTCTGCCCGTGCTCCCGCGCATACTTGATCCGCTGCTCCAGGATCTGCTCCGCCTCCTCGACATACTGCCCATGCAGATCGATCGTGTCAGGCGGGACTCGTCCGTTGGCGTTGTTCTCGCGGAAGATAAACTCGGACGCCTGCCGGTTATACTCCTCCATCTTCCGGCCATGCTCCTTGCCTTCCTCGGAGAGCTCCTTAGCCAGAGCGCCGTCGCCGTTCTCGTAGGCTTGTCTTGACTAACCGCGCGTTAGATCTGGCTGATACACCTGTAAACAACAGACGTACCCTCTCAAAGCATGAATTGCGCTTCGCAGCCTCCTGGCGGGCTAAATCCCGCAGACGATCGTATTCCGCTTCCACCTCATCGCGGGAATGGTCATGATTGAAGGCTGCGCAGGAAGGCAGGAAGGAATAGGAATTGTCAGCCAAAACCTTGCTGGATACATATCTGCGACGCGAGCGCGATCACTCACCCCTTGGACCCAGGTATGATATTTCGTGGGACATGCCGAAGCTGAGCAGGGGGCTCTCCTACCAAGTCACGATGGCAATGCCTGAAAGGCAAGCAGGGAAGTGCTGCAGTGCACGGGACGGACGGAAATGGAGATCTCGAGGCGGCGCATGCTGAAGATGCGCTCCGCTGGACGCGATTCTGGGGCGAGTTTAACAGCGCGCTGGGCCAATGGCGACGCGGAATGCGGGGACTGAGATCCCGCTATGGAGATCTGCAGGGCGATCCATGGATCTTTTAAATTTCCAGTCTTGCGATGGAAATAATAGAGGGGTGCCAGCGTATTCAAAACTCAAATATTGTCAGCGCAGAACGCATATTGTGGTGCCACGTTGATAATAATAATATAATTAGGAATAGTTGGTCTGACACCGGCGGTCAGGCAGCTGCCGGACCGGTCAGGGCTTATGACTTAGGGTTAGGGTCTATCCTCCGATCAGACTTAACATCATCTACGGTTCTACCTGTCGGTACTCTGAATCCCCCTGTAAGTATAGAGAACTTGACTATCCATACTCTGCGCATTTAGTATAGAAATACTGGAGCAAGATTTATTTGAATTAACTAACCAAGAGCCTCCAATTTTAACCCGACCAGTACCTGGCACTGACTTGGTTAATCACCTTTCTCATGTGGTGTAGATATCATAGATGCAAGCTGCTTTGCACGAAGGGGACTGGTCCATATTGGAAAGACTAGAGCTCATGGTATACCTAATGACTTATTGTTGATGCGATCTTCCAGTATCCTTCCTCTCTAAAGCTGGATCCATGGTTATAACCACTCATGGTAGACACAACCTCGCGTTCTAGTTTATTATGCTGTCACTATCACTTTCCACTGTAAACTACATATTTTAAGAAAGATATCTCTCTAAAACCTGAATTTTGTGTTGAAGACCTCTATTCATTGACAAGATCTGTCAAAAGTGACAAAGCAAGTATTCCTAAAAGATAGTCAGAGAACATTAACTTACAGCCGGCAGTCACTCCTCATAGAGAGAAAAAAAAAAGAACAAATAATCGATTCATATCTTGGATATTGCCACAACTCAAACTTTGTCGGTCTTTAACTCAATTCTCTCTGACCGTCTTTGTGGCAATCTCGTTGATAATGGTGCATAAACAATTCGCCGCTGGTCCATTCTTCATCCCATTGTCCAAGAAAGTTAGCCTGACGGAGAAAAAAAATTGTAAAGTTGAAATCTTGTTTTTAGCACGCTTTGATTGAATTTACTCGATCCTGATTTGCTTATTCTTTTCTATCGCCATGTGATTTCGTCGCTCCGGCTGTTTTCTCCTGACCAGTGGTGAATTGTCGCATATTCCTATTTCCGGTAACTGTTATATTGCTGCCTGGTGTATGCATGCCGCATGTAAGCTTGTTTATCGTCGGTGGGAGATATCTGATTCGCGAACAGGCGATATCAACGGTCATAAACGCCTGGTGTTGCGGGCAATCTGCGCCACAGTGCGCGCCACACTTCCCTACACACCGCCACAGATCCTCGCTTCCAAAGTTTTTCCTTTTCCATTATGATTCTCCACAACCGCTGACGATCGCCTAGTCGGTATGGGAATCATTATGCGAAATCCCACCGCGGCGCGCCGCAGCCCCGCCGAGGTACCAGTCTCGAGAGTCGAAATGCTGGCAACCTCAAACTTGAAACGCCATCGTGCCTTTCGACACAGCTGAGCCCAGCCAGCCCTAGCGCTCATCACGGCGCCTGATTGGCGCCCCTTCCCCGGTTTCTGCGTCTCTCCCAGAAAGGACCGCTCGGCTCCAAGCGATGCTAACGCGGCGCGGTTCTGCTTCGGTTCAGACCCCGGTATCAGAGACCGGAGTCACTGGTGACTCGCGATTGATGGCGTGGGGCCCAAAAGTCCGAACTCCCCGTCTCCTTCTGCGACGAGTCCGCGACATCTGTTGGGTCTGGCTGAGCTGAGACGAGGATTCATAGGCCCAGTATTGGCCGTCTGGCTGTTATTTCTAATCTTTATACTTTCATCGTCACCGGTCTTTGAGGATTCAACACCCCCACTTCAATGATGTGGTCTGGTCCCTGAGATCCATCCCGCCTTTGATGATGCCACGCATTTCCATGGAAATAATCTGAAGATCCCGATTACGTTTAGGGATGACCCAGACCCAGCCAGATCTCGGCATCTGTTACTACGAGACGAGCTGGCTATGAGATGTGGATATACAGACACCTCGTTCTTACGGGGGCTTTCACATGCAAATGCCTCCACCTCTTACTCCGGAGTACAGCGGAGTTTGTTGACTATCTATGCAGGGTTAAGCATGTTACCCATTTTGTCAGTTTCCTACTTGCTTCCCGATTATTTGGTTCGCATCAAAGTTTAGCTTATTAACTCTAAGATGAGATCTCCCATCGTTTCCCTAAATATCATCATGTGGACACACGATCACGATGGGTCAGCGCGGGTGTGGCGCCGAATTATCAGAGCTGAACCTCGCAGGAGGTAGTACCTTAGGGGCTCAAACAAATCGTGGGGATGGTTACACCCTGATTTGCAGCATAGCGCCAGTCTTATTAAGACAGAAAAAAAGGCCACCATGTATTTCGTGCTTTGGAGGCCATAATATAATGAACGGGTTACTTTTCCTCGCGCAGTGGCAACATGGGAACCTCCTCCGGCTGAATTGCCTCTCCATTCTCAAAGTTGACTCGTCTCGAGAGAGTGGGTTAGCAACCAGGTCTGTTGCCTGGTGTACACGCGCTTTTTTTCGCTCTTCTGTCGTCAGTTGACGGAGATAATAAGTCGCAGTCGACAGTTTCCCCTTTCTTTCACATGCCTCTCATTTTTTTTTAATTGCTTGCATTATCTCCTTCCTTCCTTAAAGGCATTATCTTCACGTTTGTCTACTAAAGACTGCTCGAATCCTTGAATCCGGCTCAGAGATATTTTTGTGGACCATGTCAGTGACTCGGTTTTGTCGCACTTGCTCGTAGGGAGCAAGCAAGGGACGATACAAGATTGACGGATATCAGAGATCTCTTCTACGAAAACTTTGGCGTCAGTTATTGCAGAATCTACTGATTATGGCACCTTTGTCGAGCGAGATACCTGTCATTTCTCAAGACTTTTGCGTTTCAGCGTGGATATTGTATCCTGGACTTCTTGTGACACTCTTTGTTTCACTTGCTGCAAGCGTCAGACACCAAGTGCATATCCAAGATCGGGAAGACAGGGATAGGATAATAAGCGAATCTGCGTCATCGTCAGAGAATCAGCATGCGAAAGACACGTGCAGGGATGAGGAGGCTGCAAGAGATGAGTCGGCATCTCCTCCTCTTCCTCCATTACCTGCATTAGGCCCGCCATTGTCAGCTTGTGATATTTTGCGGCCACTGTCGCATCTGGCCCCGGCGCCGACTAGCGGGTTGGTTGCGTCACTAGCGAGACAGAAGAGCCAACAGAAAGTGGCATGTTGTTACAGTTTGATGCAGGACGATCCGCCCCAATCGGAATCAGGCACCAATACCACGACGAACTCTGCTGGCATTCAAGAAGAGCCCAAAGCGTATTATACACTGCAACATGCAACTGGCCATCCACCGATCAAATCTTGTTCTGAGGGGGAATCCACTTTCAAAAAGTCTCCCAGTTGTTCTGGTAGTGGGCCGCTCGACGTCCAGAGTTTGCCCACCCCGTCTGCAACCACGTCACCAGAGGGCCTCGATCAATACACAGTCTTCAGCCGCAGATACGATGAGAGGGAGCGCCTGGGCAGAGAATCTGTCGAGAAACGCAGTGAGACTGTGCAACTCTTTCGCGGAGAGGACGATGACAGGGACGAAATTTGGAGTCGACGTGTTGTCGAATATCGCTGAACGAACAACAGTTGTGGACATTCATGACGACATTTACAGTCATGTCTTGGATGATTTGTACGATGCACTGCCCTCTCATATGATGACCAACAGATTCCCTTTATGAGTATTTTATATATTTCGAGTTCTGTTCACTGCAAGAAATTATAATGATTTGATTCAGCACAATCCACGGCTTGTTCCCTTGACTCGTTTTATACTTATCTGGCACTTTGATTATGTTACCCCATGCTCATGCTAGATATACATTCGTAGCATGCCCCTTCAACTCATCGCTACCCTTCTTGCAGTCACAGTCGTTTGCTTCGTGTTCTGTATGTATGATGAGATAACGCAAGTCCTGTCAATACCTATAGGTATCTACATACACCTGAGGCAGCTATCCACTTGACAAGATAAAATATGAGTTTTTCCAAATGATTTGTAGTACGCTGACGGAGTTATCAACTAATGCATGCATCTATATTCAGACCGTACTGTACAGTACATATGGGGTACATGGAAGTACCTACCTAAGATGTAGGATACTACCATCTGCAGAGTAGGGCTTGCTTGGCCTTGCTTGTTCTTGGTTAGTCGGAGATCCCGCAGCACGCTTAGTCATCAATCAATCAATCAATGACATCGCATTCGCCATCGGACGTCCCGTCGGAGCCAACAGATCCACTCCCGTCACTACTAATAACTTGCGGAGTTACTCCGTAAATAACCAAGCTGGCCTGATGATGATTTAGTCGCATGTATTGATATTATTATCCACTTTTTTTTTTGATTTTTCTAGCGTCAACCTCCAAATTCCCAAGCGAAGCTGAACAACACAACGACAATGACACAAACCGCCTTCCAGGCTGGCGGCGATGCTATTGCAGCCGACTTGGACATGAACATTGCCAGCATCAACCTCACGCACCTCCTGGCACGACTGGAGCAGAACCTCCTCTCGCCGTCATCATCATCAGCAGACCTGAAGCAATTGCGCCAGTTGCGGTATCATCGAGCGCGCGTTGGGGCAGTACGTTCAATCAATCTCTTCCTACTTCATGATGAAATCAATGGATCATCCGCTGACTTTCATGGTTATTATTTTGCTAGAACATCGACTACGCACACTCCCTCCTCGTA